TCGACCAAGCACATGAACCAAATGTCTGAACCTGCGGTTCCTCTCGTACTGAGCAGGATTACTATCGCAACAACATATCACAGTAGGGTAAAACTAACCTGTCTCACGACGGTCTAAACCCAGCTCACGTTCCCTATTGGTGGGTGAACAATCCAACGCTTGGCGAATTCTGCTTCGCAATGATAGGAAGAGCCGACATCGAAGGATCAAAAAGCAACGTCGCTATGAACGCTTGGCTGCCACAAGCCAGTTATCCCTGTGGTAACTTTTCTGACACCTCTTGCTAGAAACCTTCTAAAAAAATTCAAAAGGATCGATAGGCCACGCTTTGGCGGTCTATATTCGTACTGGAAATCAAGATCAAGCGAGCTTTTGCCCTTTTACTCTACGAAAGGTTTCCTCTCTCTCTGAATTAGCCTTAGGACACCTGCGTTGACAGATGTACCATCCAGTCGAACTCCCCGTCTGACACTGTCTTCGGTGCGAATCGTTAAACTACAGAGTGGCTTGCTTAACTTAAATCAAAAATTTCGAAACATAAGAAATAAGAAACATAATAGCCTATGAAATAAAAAAAAAGTCATCAGCTAACAGTCAACTGATTACTCGTATCATCTTCATTAATTTGTGCATGTAAGCTTCCATTTCCATCTCTCATTTGATCCTCAACAGGGTTTTCTGTTTGCCAAGTCTGTTCCCTTGGTTGTGGTTTCGCTTCATAGTAAATAGGGACAGTGAGAATCTCGTTAATCCATTCATGCGCAGTTAGCAATTAGAATAACAATGGTGCAAATAGCAGTGGTATGTGACAATAATAATTTAATCAAATTCTATGTGTACTGACATTTTAGTGTATATGCTATGTATCCTTTGTTTGCATTATTTACTGTTACTTGCAGTCAGATTGATTTAGATTTAAAAATTTTGCTATGTCTTCATAACCATCTGTATTGATTTTTTTATGTCTAATTATCAATATTTTCGGTGTTACACCGAAAAGAATATTTACCACCACTAAAAATGCCAGATAACATAATAAAATACGCAGAAACCCCCATCAAACAAAATAAAAAAACACCAGAATAATCAAAAGATATAAAAACAAAAAAATAAGGCAAAGTAAACCAAAAAAAAATCATTAAAATAAAACCACAAACAGGTATCAATAAAAAAGATAGCCAAGAAGAAAAATAAAAAAAAAGTTGCTCCTTCTTCAGCAATTTAAGCCCGTCAAATAAAGCTTGAAAAACACCAGAATATCCTACCTTATTGGGGCCAATACGACATTGAGTGCCACCTAAAAAATGACGCTCTATTAAAGTCAAAAAAGCAACAGCCTGTAAAATAAAAATAATTATAAGAAAAACACCGACATAGTAAAGAATAAACAAAGTAAAATCCAAAGAATTTACAATTCTTTATTCTAATATAAACTAACACTTTAAAAAATAGAGACAAGTTTCCTTACCTCTACCATACTACAACTTACGCCCCTGTGGGCCATTGACGGATGGTTTGTACCACCTTGTTTATTAAATTCATCTTCATATAAAAAAAAAAATTACTTTCTTTTCCAATTTCAAAAAAAAAATTAAAAAATAATCCAAAAAAAATTAATAATAGTAACACACGATTATAAGTCCATAAGCCAAATATATATCTGTTTTAAATGACAAAACACAAAAAGCATTACAAATAAAATAAAAACTAAACAATCATACATGTGCCGATAAGACTCACCAAAAAAGAGGGCTCTCCATACGCATATTCCAAAGAAAAATCCAAGGTCAGTCAATATTTTTTCGGTTTAAACAAAACTTTACTCCCGAATTAATTAATTTTGATTACCTGGGTACTAATCCAGTTCAAAAAACAAATTTTAAATGTCTTTTTAAACAATATAAAAACTAAAACATTTTACAAAAATAACATAAAAACAAAAATAAAAAAAAAAGACAAAACAACAAATAGAGTTAAAAATTAAAATGTATAGCCGATTATTCTGGAACACTTATAAAACAATTAAAAAACTACCAGTGGATAAAAAATTACACATTAAATAAACTAAAAATAAGTAATATTATCTTAATACAACTAAAACCAAAATCAAACTTAATATTATAAAAAATAAAACATTACCTTATCAACACCATACCCCTTAACACTAAAAAAAAATAACTAAGCCAACAACCCCAGATATAAGCCCAAAACATAAAAAATAAAAAAATAATAGAACTAAAAAAAAACATAATAAACAAGTAAAGAAAAAATAACAACTCAATACCAAGTAAAATAAAAATTAAATAATTATATTTAAAAACAAAGTAAAAAAAACCAAAAAAGAACAAAAATACCTAAAGAATAAACCTTTTGATTAAGAGTCAAAAATTCTAAATTTAAAATAATCCTTTAAATACGGTAACCTTGAAAATATGAATCTCACAGACTTAAAAATTATCCTACCATATTAAAGAATTTTTAACCTACTAATCAACAATTAGTTATACAAAAAAATTATACTTAAAATTCCTAATAGCTTAAAACCAGCCGCGCTTAAAACGAATATACTTATTATACTAAAAAGCCATGTGCATAAAAATCTCAAGATTGCAAATCAAATATAATAACCTTATAATATATACACTGTATTTAATTCTTTTTTTAGTTAGTTAGTGGAGATTGGTCTATTAAATAAATACAATTCTAATAGAGTATTATAACTTTAATGTTATAATACTCTAAGAATTGTATTTAGTTTAGTAATTATTTTAAAATATTTACTAATAATTATTTATAATTATATTGGGTAACAAAAAAAAAGAAAATAAATAAAATAAAAAAAAAAATAACAAAAATAATAAAAAATCATCATTAAAAATAAGCTACAAAAAATAACAAAGTAAAACATCTGTTTTACATCTGTTTTGCTAAAAATGCGTGCAAATGAGATAGATCAACGTAGCTAAGTAATAGCAACAGAAATAAAAAAAACGTTCAATTAGTGGAGTTAACAAAAGGACACGCATGGGGTTGAAAAAATCACGGAAAACATACATAATTAATAGAAAGACATGCAAAAGGGAAAAATAAAATAATGTAATATTTAAATAACAAAAAAATTGGGTTGGCAAAAAAGCGTGTAGAACCGAAATGACTAACCAAAAACGACGTTTACTTTGAACAGAAATAATAATAAAAAAAACGCGGGCTATGAGAAGAAATTTTAGCATTAGTCAGGAGACACACTTTGAAATTAATGAAAAAAAAAGGAATAAAAAAGTGAAAATAATATTTTGGGCAAACATTCAAGAATTATGGTTTAATCAATGAGAGGCATAAAGTGAGTGAAGTTTACAAAATAAAAAAAATGGTATGAAAATAAAAATTTTTTTCAAGAATAATGTAAAAGTGAAATTAGTAATAAAGAGAAAGAAAAGGTAAGTATATTGCTAAATATGGAATATATTAGTATATTGTACAATAAAAAAAAAGATCCTAAAAGCTAAATAAGAAATGAACCATAAAAAGAAAAGCAGATAATTAATGGAACGCAGCCACTAATAGGCTATTGCATTTAGGTTTAAATAATAAAGAAGCGAGGAAGAAAAAGACAATGAATGTTTCGGTACGATCTTTAATAATAATTTTAAATAAATGACAATATATTCATTAAATAATGATTGGCCTATAGCCATAATTAAAAAACTAGTAAAAGTTAGATATGTAAAAGGGAAAAACATCGATTGAGGAACATTGAAACGTGCAAAACATCAAAATGCCAGCCAAAAGCTCTTTCATTCAGTAATAGCGCCTATGAGTAATTTCACAGTAAGTAGAAGATGTCGTGAAAGGTTTGTCTGCTTGGTACTTGAGTAATTGTAATACCGCAGTGAGATTAATAAATCTTTATTTTTATTTAACGTATTATCAGTAACCTGAACAGTAGAAATAGACCTTATAAAATCGGAGGAAATTTAGCTTGGTGATGAGGGATTGTAGTCGACAATAACAATAACAATAACAATAATAATAATACTTTTGTTTATTAGAATTGAATTTATATGAGTGAGGAATGGGAGTGTCTAAGATAAAAATCACATCTGTGAAGAATTGGAAGTGTTTACAAAGAAGAGATTAAAATTGCATGTGTAAATACCGTATGATTGTTTACAATTTAAAAAAGGAGAGATGATTTATGATATTATGAAATTGGTTAGAAATTTTCGCGAAATTATAATTTGCGACAGAAGAAAGAAATTTTCCAGAAGTGTTTGATAGCATTTTTGGTGTTTTGTAGTCTTTCTGCTTGTTTTTATTATTCTAATTATTGCTTCCTTTGTTTTCTATTTTTTGTTTATGTTCTTTTCCTTTTTATTTAGCTTATGATTTTTAAAGTATTTGTTGTGATTTTAATTTATATAAAACACTACTCCCCAGCTGTATAATAATTCTAGTTAAGATGTGGAAGCTTTATGCGGGAATTATAAAATATTAAATACATTTGCTATATCTGATTGCGGCTCATTCTACAATTGTAATTTTTGTTTGGGCGTAGTTTAATTAAAAAAATTCCTTTTTTTGCATTAGTATGTTTTCCAAAATTTTGGTTGATTTTTTAAATGCTTTAGTTTTTCTTCCTGTTAGTTTTGCTTTGAGTTATATATGAAAAATTTTGGTAGTATACTGGGTATTATGTTGATATCTCAGATTGTTACGTTTTTTTTTCAAACTTTTTTTATTATACAGCTGGGGATGTACTGAGTAATGTTTGATATGTGATATTTAAGATTAACCTAGGATGTTCTATTCGTATTATACATTCTAGTGGTGCTTCTATGTTTTTTTTTTCTTCTTTTTTTCATATTTTTAAAGTTTTTTTTAATTTATAGTAGTTATTGTCTTTCAAAAATATGAGTAAGTAGTGTTATCATATACCTTTTTTTGATGGATAGTACTTTTATGTTTTAATTTGAGAGCATATATATATACTCTCATAGAAAATGGTTTGTGCGAAGGAGAAATGCAAAGTTAGCGTCTCTATTATATTAGAAGTTTCTCTTTGTCTTTCGTCGGTCAGTTAAACAGAAAGGAAGGAAAAGTTGTTTTAAAAAAAATGAATCTATTAAAGAGGCTCAGTTTCGAGTGGACGTCAACATTTCACTTGGCGGAGATGATACCGGTAATAGAGGTTGTTCGAACTGAGATCAAAAATTTAAATAGCTTATGCATGGTGTATACAGCTGTCAACAGTGAACTAGGTCGGCAGTACGAAATTCTTAGAGCTGGAGGCACAGTACTGAATGAAACACGTACTGTTGACCACTATGGGTGGGTTATTTGTGTTTTCTGATATTGCCGGAAACAATAGTTTTTTATCACGTTTAAAGGTATGAAAAGATTTCTAAAAATTTCTCGTTCCAAACAGAAGACATTTTCCAGCAATACAATAGCAATAGAAAAAGAAATTGAAATGGATTACCGTTTTATGCCGGAACCGAACCTTCCTCCTGATTAAACAAGAATGGATAGAAACAGATTAAACAAGAATGGATAGAAAATTGTCGTCTAATGCTTTCCAAACCGAGATATTTGAAGAACATCGAAGAATATGGCATGAGACCAGAAGTCGCACTACGAATTGCTGTTAGTTATTATTCATATATATGTTCCATATGAAGTAGAAGCAGAAGTTGTCTCCCAACTTCGTAAGGAAATAATCAGCTAAGATTGGCAGGAAGAATGGCATAAGATTCTGCTTTTTGGTTATGTTTGCATGAAGCTGGGTATACCCATATGCTTTTGGGTATTGAAGTCTATGAGACATATATGCGTTTGATGAAACTACCGTGTTTATGTGTTTTGCATATATAGCGGCGTTATTCATATTGTTTGGTAACCAGTTTGAAAAGAAAGTCGTGACTATTAAAAATATTTCCAGTTTTAGAGCAAAACTATTAAAAGTAACTTTCGTTTAGATTTCGATTTATTATATGAGTTTTCCATTTAGAATCAAAAAAACCTCGCAACATTTGTTGAAATGGTTTTAAATGTATGTGATGATGCTGAAATGGCTTCAGTATTAGTTGAGTGGACCTTTCTCTTGCAAAAAAATTCCCTGCATCACGGTAAGCTTGCTTGTTTTCAAATAAATTTTAAATAAGATGCTGTATTGTACGGTTGTTTCATCCGTTCCATTTATCTATATTGGAAATATTTTATAAATTCTCCTTCACCACCCAGTTTTTCAGAACAGTTTTCATTAATTATTTCGTGGAAACAGTACATCTTTTTCACACTAAACGATTAACAAAGCTGACAACTTTCGATCTCTTGCGAAGATATATAAAAGCAGAGTTAGACAAATCGCCAACCGAAGTATTGATTGTTTCTCCTAGAACTTACACAATTCTTCATAATAAGGCAAACACGCCGGAAATCTATTTAAATTTTTATATGTACGAAAGAAGGCGAAAAATATTTTTGTGTCATAAAATCTATAGTTGTTCACTGTTATTGTTTTCAGATTATAAATGAAGAGAATTTATGGCGAATACATGATAAAGATGAAATCATTCAAATTGCGGAGAAAGTTATTCGTGAAAATGACAAACTTGTAAGAAAAATACAAAAAAGTGGAGCAAAAAGACATGCCACTAAATTGCGTGCAGCTGTGCTTAATGAATGTAATCGACGAATTGAAGTTGACGAAATAAGTGAAATAATTAGACGAAAGCTTTTGTCAGGAAGCTAAACGTGTACTGAAATGTTTCGTGAAAGGACTTATTTGTTTTGTTTATTGATAATTTTTGATCATTTCCTGCTTCTTGTGTCGCAGGACTGAATCACTTTTTTTATGAATCAATCTCAGGACAAAATGAAGTTGTATGTTCATTTTTTGACTGGAAATTAAAAAAGTTTCATCTATTATTTCTGAGTGCTTCAATGATCGACGATAACTCAGTTGAGAAGTCTGAATGCATGAGTGGTGATGCACAAATAGCTCATGGAGTATACTTATGGAACTAGCGGGGCGCCGTTGCAGTAATTTTAGGTATGGATGAAAAATGAGATAACACGGAGATGGGCATGGAGCGATGTCTCATCGCAGCATGTTTGTATTATTGCAAGAAATTGCTTCGTGTTCTGCACCTTACTAAATCCATCCATTTACGAGCACAGCACTCATCTCGTCGTGTGACATGATATTAGTCCTGCTAGGATAACAACGAGAGCTAGCTATACTGCAGTGGCAATACCAAAACTAGAGCATTCGATACATGGTCATGTAGCACAGCCTGCCGTAAGCATCATCCCTTCTCGAACTTATCCTGCAAATGCCTGCAATCTATTCCGTATAAAAGAAGAGAGAGAGAGAGAGAGAGAGAGAGAGAGAGAATAAATGAATGAAAGGATATGTCATTCAGGTTTTCCTCTCTTAAAACATCTTCTTTGAGGCCAGCTTTGACAAAAACTCAAAAAGGGCCTCGCTTAAGTTCAGCAACTTGCCAGCTACTAATTACATTGACAACTTCTTCATTCTCCTGTAAATTTTCAGAATTATTAACTTCTGAATGCTCCTACCATGCCTTCTATGTGATCTGCAGATGGACCGAGAACAAACGGGTCACATCGCAGAGTTAGGCTTCCAGACAAATTTCCAACTTCGTGAACATCTGGTAGAGTGTCACGCTAAATTCGTGGCTCGCGCCCTACTCGCTCCCAATGTCACCAAGAAAACCCATTTCTGGCTTCTCACCAATATTGCTTATCATAGTGAAGTTCATTTTTTTAAATGTTTTTATTTTATTTGCGCTAATGACTGGTCAAAATGCAACATTGCTAAAATGTAGTGATATCGCCACCAGTCTTTGGGATGTAATTGTGCTTATTAGACATTGCGAAGAGCAGAATGAAAAAAAAAATTTTTGGGAAAAACCTGACACCTGCTACAATCCAAAAAGCTTATTCCGTTACTACTTGTAGAATTAAAACTACAAAGTGCTGCTGAGGCACGCATTTTCGAGTGTTCATAAAATACTGCAAAGAATGAATATTTGCAGAATGTGAGAGACGATTTTCTGTACGATGCTTTCGCAGAGACGGCATTGGAATCCACAAAGCAATCGTCAGTAAGTGTCATAAATATTTTCCTGTAACCTTATATAAACAGTCTACAACAGGTCATGTTCGATTCTTTACAGATACCCCAAGATGATCGTGATAATGATGAATCTTACCTGAATTCACAAAAACAGAAACCTTTAGAAAGCGATGATCCTGAAGAAGCCGATTATCAGCCAATAGCAAAACGATCTAATGTTGTGAGGATTTAAAAAGTTTTTCGACACTATTACTCATATATCCGGAAGTGCTTCTTATTTAGAGAACTAAGCCCCTTTATACGGTTGCAGAAAATATACCACACTCTGAAGTCGCCGCTCTCCTTTTTTAGATATCTTTTTGCGTAAGTGAATACTTCGTGATCACTCAGTAGACTACTTATTACTTATTATGATTCAGATGTTCGAAACTGAATCCTGCAAAATAATGACAGCTGTTGGTAACTACTTGAATAATGATCAACAAGTACAGAATTCAATATCTCTTCCAAGTAGTTCGAAAGCCGTTCGAAAATCAAATTGTCAAGTTTGCCACGTGGATGTCTGCACAACAGCACGCCAACGACACGTTTATCAATTTCACCTGCGAATTTCTGATCTTTTCCAGTGTTCATGTTGTGACTATACAAATAATAACTCAGTTTGGGAGATGCGTAAACACTGTACATCTATTCATCAAGGCAATGCATATCCTATCAGTAATGAAGAAGTTCATAAGCATGAAATACAGGTTATTCATTCCCAATTTCAACTTTTATTTCCAGTCAATCCGATATAATGAGTTGGTGTTGTTTTTGTAATAAAAATCACCAGCCATTTCTACGTTACGTAATACAATACAGAGGGACAACGCTCAATGTTTAAGATTAACTAATCTTTTCTACTAATTGATCTCATTAGTGATTGTTTCGAATCATAACTTTTGGTTTTAACTGGTTCCACAGCTGAAACAAATGTAGTAAATGATTGTTCCAGAATTGGAATCAGCAATGTTTCCCGGATTGGAAGCTGAAGAAATCACCTTTGTCAAGACAAAAAACAATAACACTGGAGGTTTCTTAACTTCTGATCAAAATATATTTCAGGGGATTTCTGATCAAAGGTTATTCTGAGATCTTTTAAAGCCTTTTATTATACTTTTCTCATCTCTTACGTCCGAATGAAGTGATTACTTCTTTAGCAAAATCAAATCACTCCGGACGATAGAGAACTAAAAATGGTTAGCCATGGACGTGTTGCAAATACATCTTGCGATGAAGTAGACAGCTGTAAGATGAATAGTGATAATCAGACACAATCAATCATAGGAGCTGTTGTAGACGATCGGACGTGTCATCTGTGCTGGTAATGGTTTTGGACTTGATCTTTTCTTAATTTGTGAATTGAATTTAAATATTTGCGAAATCAATGAAGTTTAATTTTAATAAAAATTAATTAAAGATGTGAGCATGTAACAAACAGGGATCATTTATAGGGAAGAATCTCGTTATCCAGGACGTCACATAGCTCAAAAACATTTGAAGAAATCACTATACCAATGTCCAGTTTGTCAAGATTTTGGAAGTTACGAAAGTTGTACCGTTGCTAAACATATCAGCAAAATTCATCCGGAACAGTGTAATGCTATTCCCATCTCCAATTTGGATAGATATGCTCAGGAAATTCGTGACTTACAGGTAGTCATTTCATTTCATGTACTTTTTACCCAGATATTTTAGATCGTCAAAAACATTTCATCAGATTTTTAATCCTCTTAATTGGAAATTCATTGTTTATCCTATTTCGTAACACTGTTTAGTATTGATAAAGGAAAAACATATTGTAGAAGAAATGTTTTCCAAACCGACCAATGAAGCTTGTTCGACCTCATGTCGGTCGTTATCGTCCTCGAGAGCGTCACATTTGCCAAATTTGTAAAATACAGGTAAAATCCAGTCTAAGCATTCAAAAAGGTGTATAACTACTAATTTCTGTGATATGTGAAGGATGCACAGAACCACTCAATTATTCATTATGCTGAATATCTGTTCAGTTTCAAATTTAAATTTCATCTCTTCAGGTGGCGCAATCAGATCGTCAACGGCATGTATACCATCGTCATTTAAAGCAACAACGTATTTTCGAATGCCCTCTTTGCTCTTTTGCTTCAAACTACGATATACATCGTGTGAAGTGGCATATTAAATGGATGCATAAAGATGATTCAAACAGAGAACCTTATTCTCATGAAAATGATTATAAGTAGGCAAATTTCTTGATAGAAGTAAACATTTGAAATACATATCTCATCTTTCCATTATTTTATGACTTTTGAAATCACTCAAATTTCGTCCACCAGATCATACTGCGACCATTTAGCTTTTTGGAAGGTTAAAGTTAGTTTCACAATCACTTTGCAATCATAAATTTAGATTTTCAGAGAAGAAATAGATCGATTAAACGAGCGATGTTTTCCGGGTTGGCAACATAGGCGGAGGCAGTTTTGGTGGTTGGACATCGAAGAAACCAAGCAAAATGTTCAGATTTTCTATAAAGTTTTGAAAATTTCAACTATTTTTCTTTCTCCTACGATAATGCATAACTGTCACTGAAAATAAAACCCAGACATTATTTGATTTCGACTTTCCGTTTTATATAATCTGATTTGCAGGTAAAGAAAAATGTGATAGCAGATGTTGAGGAAGAGAAGAAATCAACGGAGGTAGTCATTAGTAAACCACCTGTACTTCAGGAAGAGCCTTGTAAAAAACCGAATGAATGGACCTGCATGGTTAGCTGTGGTTTTATGGAAATGCAAAATTTTTATTAAACAAATATATATGTATTTTTGTCTTCATTTGTCGTTTTTTTTTATTTTTTTTTTTCTGATTTGAAGCTACCTGTTATTGAGAATGTTATAATTTACGTTTCGATCAATTTGTTGTAAACCATATTAAAAAAGCGTGGAGTGAAAATATTACCGAATCAAAATGACCGAATGTTTTAATATTAATCATTTCTTTTTTTAATATGATTAATTTATACAAAAAAAAAAAACAGTTTGAACTAGACTGAATTAAACTGAGTTAATCAAACTTCTGAAATTTAAGGTCTGAACTACTCTATATACTTTTTTTTTCTTAGGAACAAACACTGTACAATGTGAAAACTTGAAAAATTGCAAATTGCAGCTTTGCAAAATATTATAATATTAGCAATTTTTTTTTACTGATGAAGTCACATGCAACCACATGTAAAATATAACTAGCAAAATTATAATCGATAAATGTCACTACTATTTCAAGTGAAAGTTACATAATGGAAAAAAAACTTCATCTAAGAAATATTTTATATTTCATTATGATTGCAATTGAAAGAATTGGTCTATTAAATTAGCTTGTATTAATATGCTAAAATGAAACTCGCGATGCGTACTATTGGTAAATACACCAATTTGCGCATATGGTAATTTAACATTAATATTATTTTATTCATTAATAAATAACATTAATGAATAATTACAAAATAAGATTGCTAAATTGATTGGTTGAATACCGATAAAGTTCCGTTAACTCTATCCGTTTCCATTTTAGCGGTTTCACATCCTCTTGAACTCTCTCTTATATATAAAAATATTGCAACTTTCTCTCACGGTACTTGTTTGCTATCGCTCTTGTAGTCGTATTTAGCCTTAGATGAAGTTTACCACCCTCTTTGGGCTGCAATCTCAAACAACCTAAATCCGAGGAATAACCTACCGTTGCAGGTCTAGCACCTTCTATGGACTGTAGCCCCACTTAAGGGGACTTTGAGTGTAAAAATATTGAGTGTTACGGATAGTATACCTATACGCTAGATTTCCTTATCTTCACTGTTATCGACGCTTAGGCCATAACTTGAATAAAGTATAGAAACCGCAAATATCATCGTCTATTTGTATTATTTATTACCATATACATCCATATATGCATATGCTACTAATAGCAAAATAAAATGGTAGCAATAATAATAAATCAATCGTTGCTGTCTTGTTTTTGAAGCGCGACAATGATCCTTATGCAGGTTCACCTACGAAAGCTTGTTACGATTTTGCCTGCTTCCACCAAAGAGTCTCTACCCTTCAAAGGTATCGAAACAACAGTCTCCACTTTTCTCGAAACAGCTCAGTACCAAGCACGTAATCAACGTAAGTTGATGACTTACACTAAAAATTCCTGTTCAAAGAAAATAACTGGATGGTTTTCAAGGGGTCGCTGCTTTCTCCAGTGTAGCGCGCGTGCAGCCCTGGTCATCTAAGGGCATCACAGACCTGTTATTGCTCAACTTCATGCGGCTAAACACCGCTTGTCCCTCTAAGAAGTTGTCTGAACGATAAAATTACCCAGTAACTATTTAGTAGCTAGAGTCTTCTCGTTATCGGAATAAACCAGACAAATCACTCCACCAACCTAGAATGACCATGCACCACCAACCACCAAATCATGAAAGAGCTCTCATTCTAACAATCCTCACATGTCCAGGCCAGGTGAATTTTCTGGTGTTAAGTCAAATTAAGCCGTAGGGTCCATCAGCTTTGCAACCATGCTTCCCCAACAACCGAAAAACTTTCGTTTCCCATCAAGGCGTATTTACCGCCGACGGAACGCTAGTTGGTATCGTTTACGGTCAGAACTAGAGCGGTATCTGATCGCCTTCGAATCTCTGACTTTCGTCCTTGATTAATGAAGACATTCTTGGCAAATGCTTTCGCAGTCGTACGTCTCGCTACGGTCCAAGAATTTCAGCTCTTACGCAGCGATACGAATGTCCGTCTGTTCCTCTTAACCATTATCTCAGATCAGAAAACCAACAAAATAGAATCGAGATCCTATTTCATGCACGAATAGGCATTAGCCCGCATTGAGCACTCTTTTTTCAAGGTAAATTTGCCAACTACCGTAGGGAATCAAGGTAACGTATAGAAAACTGGTAATATTACCCTAGGAGCCTAGTTCTCATCCAATGGATGGATCAGGTCCTGAGACGCAGACCCAACTACGAGCTTTTCAACCGCAGCAGTGACGATATACACTCTGAGAGCTGGAATCACCGCGGCTACTGGCACTAAATTTGCCCTCTCATAGATCTTCGTTAACAGGTTTAAATTGTACCCATTCCGATAACCGGCCTCAAAGAGAAAGGTCTCGTTATTTTTCATCACTACCTCCTCATTCTGAGAGTGATACATTATCTCAAGTGTCTGTCTGCCTTCCTTGAATGTGGTAGCCGTTTCTCAGGCTCCTTCTCCGGAATCGAAACCTTATTCTCCACTACCCGTTACAACCATGGTAGGCACATAAACTATCGCTGAAAGTACTTCATAGATACGCCGCCAGCACAAGACCATGCGATCAGCCATAACTATTCAGAGTCATCAATTAACGGATTAATTAATAATCTGATTGGTGTTTTAATCTAATGGATGCGCACGCCTAAAATTCGGAGCCTAAGCGCATGTATTAACTTTAGAATTCCCACAGTTATCCACGTTGGATAATCAACAACTGCATTATAATTAGTATAATGAGCATGATATAAAGTAATAAGTAAACTCTTTATTAAAGTTTTTCCATTATCTCAGATATATCAGTGTGTTATTCATTCATTCATCTATATCTATCGAAATCCCATTCATATGCTATTTCCTTTGCTTATTAGTAAAATTTAAAAATGATTTTTAAATTTTCACTTACAATGCAATAAAAATACGACAAATTTCCAACGTATAACAGAGCATTTCATATATACCATCATATTACGATTGCATTATCATCGTGAAAGGCAATAAATATTCTAATAGACTGGCTATATACGTTAACACATAATGTAACACAAAAATTGTCAGCAACAACACATACATGACACACAAGTGCACACATACCTATATAACACAAGAAATCTTAATTGCTTTAACTGATATTGATGTGAACTTGTTTTTATCGCTCCAGTAAATTATGATTTATGGAGCATGAATGAGTAATTCGAAAACTATCACAAAAGAACCACAAACTTATCATATCGTAGAAAAATTATGCACACTATTATTCTGTATGACAAAATCATGGGACAAATGGCATCACAACAAGAATTTTCAAATATCAATACCCTACACATTAAATGTCGACCAAGTAGCACATGTGTTAATTCACACCGGGTTTAATAATTAAAAGTAAATTAGTCTTAATCCATGTAAACCTCTTAACTTAATAGAAATCTAAAAATGGTTGATTATGCAAATAAAATCTCAGCAGAGAGAAACTGGATAGCAAATTATAATGCACAGAACATTCATCAGTTAACATAACGTATGCACTCGACTAAAATTACTTGATTAAAAATTTTAGGTTCATATGTTGCTACATTTAACTGCATATTTAAAACTGTAATCATCGGATCCAAGATGGAGTAGATATGTCGCACAAACAATAGGTAACCAAGCTAAATAGAAATGCAGGCAACAACAATTCTTACACAACTTTATGTTCATCAGCAGGTAGATGGTCATACTCGTAGTCACAGTGGACGAAAGCTCTCTCTACTTCCGCCAAACTTTCGATACTTGTCTGTAATGCTTCACTAATGTCATGTGACTCTCGAAGTGTCATGTCTGGATTCATCACAATGTGAACTTCCACTAGAAAACGTGTGCCGAAATGGTATACGTAAACAGTATCGATATAATCTATTCGCTTGTCGTGCTCGACACACACCTGTAAATTTATAACCTTCACTTACTCCTAGAAGCAATGGCTTAACAGATTGACTGACGGTAGGTTAGCTTTCTTCACCCATCATGTCATTAATTTATTCACAGTTGTATTCGGTGAAGGAACCAGTGCATAGCACACGGGATATCTTTAACAGCAGTTATCCAAACATAATACTTACTAAGCATAGCGATGGAATTAAGGGGAAACAAACAACCTTCACTATACGATTAATGAACTCTGGTTTGGCCGACTTGCCAGAAAGCATCGCTAAGTGCTCTTTTCCAGTGAAAAACCATGTAATGGCAATATATATGGATACAACAATAGCACCAATCGGATCAAAATACATCCAGTAATTAGATGCGACCCAAGCACATAGCTGCAAAAAATTGTTTATTATAACTGAATTCAGGAAGTTTCCGTAAGCAAACAGAAAGCAATGAAAATAGCAACCATATAACTTACAAATCTTCAAAAAAATAAGTACAGGATAGTTGAAATTTGGACAAACTAACTGCTGAAAACTCACTATAGCGACTGTATTGGATATACAATCATTCCAATGATCTTGCGCCAGCACTGCTACTGAAGAGTTATAATCAAATCTAAAAAGAGTCAGATAAGCCATTTGTTTCCACAATTACCTTAACACTAACGGAAAAGTTAATAGGATTATCCAGTTACTGACTGCAATGTATACCACAAAAGAAGCAGAACTGGCATAACTGTATACTAAACAAGGCCGTAAGTGGATTTAATATCAATTATCATAATTCCTATTCCACTAAGTCTATGTGAAACTTCAACTAACTTTTTACACAAAAGCATGAGAGCAAATTTGATGAATATAATAGCAACCATAATGAACAACGAAACAACATCCACTCTTGGATCAACCGTATCATTGACAACTGATTCCAATGACTGCACGACCATTTGCACTGACGCCACTCCCATTATAACACTTACAATTATCTACAAATGTCTTCTATTAGTTTTATTACTATTAGAAGTTTCAAACTGTGGAGAGAAATAAGTAGGAAATCAATCAGTGTAATTGATCTTTAATAATCTTTAATGAGAATTAATCTTTAATAAGAGCAGTGAAATTGGGACACAGCGTTGATAAACTGCGAAATTTTCTTTTTTTTAAAAATGATGCAGTAACAAAAAGAAATAATGAGATTGAAAAACTAACCAAAGCGATAGGTTCCAAACGTGTCCTTCCCCTGGGATACATATATGGATCTCGTTTCCTAATAGCACGAGCCGTTAACCAAATCACTAAACCCGAAGTAATATCGACAGCTGAATCAACTAACGAAGAAATTATTGATAATGAACCGGAGAGATATGCTGCTGCAGTCTGCAATAGCTGCCAGTAGATCCAATTAAAAGGTGATTATCCAATAGTAGAAAAAATGGATACATAGGAAATCACCATAAAAACTACCAAAAATGTTAATAAATGAGTCAAATAACAACCTTAGCTACGGCTAAAGAAACATTAACAATAAGAGTAGTCATGGCCAACCATCGCGCCGCCTTGTCCGCCGATTTGTTCCTTGAGGGTTTTATTCTAAAAAAGCCAAGAAAAAAATGGGATGTTGACAGAACAAGATGAAAAAAATTTTCGAAACAATTTTTAATATACCTTTTCTTCTTTACTCTCACTGCAGGTATCTTATGTTTACCCTTTGTTGAAGAGCTTTTCAAAAATGCTTTTTCTGAATTGGAATTTCCCTCAAGCAACATCATTTTGGATTCCATGTAATTTTCAACACTCTGTTCCGAACTATGTCCTTTTTGTCTCTGTCGTCGGTGCTCCTGAAGAAAACAACGATAAAATGTAAGGAAGGAAACAATTCTATTGCCTTCGAGGATGTGACATGTTGAATGCTTTGTGCACAAAGTTGCATTATTAATAACAAGAATTCAGAACTGGCTAATTAACTAGTAAATGAGGAAATTAGTTGAAATGACGTGTTATGTAGGTAAAAAAAATTAATGAATGTTAAAAAATAAACTTCGATGGCAGTGCTATCTTTCTTGAAATTCTCCACAAGATCCGACTGTTTTCGATAAAATTTGCTCACTCGTTTTGGATTCCTATTCAATAAAAGCGATGGATGGGAAAACATGATCCCGATGGAAGACGCGCTGTAACTGTTGTGGGGAAGAGTCGCCTTTCTATCAAGTAACTGCTCCGTTGTTATATGACCTGTACTAGGACAAAATCTGAAATAAGCATGACCAAAAAAATAAAGAAAAAAACAAGTACGTAAATTTTTTACACGTTACTTTTAAATTTAAACTTGTCATATTTGCTACTTAACTTTAAACTTCGAATATTTATCATATTTAGCACCGAAAATAAATTCAAATTTCCCTGCTAACATTACCAGATACATTTTGCATTCTTTGTAGTTCATTTCGAAGTTAATTTTCAAAAAAAAAAATGGTGTAGAGCAAGTGGTCCCTTAATAAAATATCACATGGGTTCCCATGTTCACACATCGCAATATTTGCAGTTCTTCATAGTCTTGTCATAGTTAGCGACAGCCAGAAAAAAATATAGCATTTTCTGTACTTCAAATTGATAAGGTATAGGTTAAGATCTAATTTCAGATCAAAACCCTAAAACAAATTGTGTCCGGACTGTTAAAAGTTTCTTCCCTATCTAATTTTCGAAATTTCCATATGAAATGGTAATGCATGTAACTAAATAACACATACACAATTTTGTAAAATGTCTGCATGTTGTTAATCTATCCATTCTCTACACTTTCCTTATTGCTCTTATATTCCCTGATCATTGAAACTTGCTATCAACAGTAATGCAATCTTTTTACAGAATGAATTTGAAAGAGAACTTTGCAAAGCAAAACGATAGATTTGCAGATTTACTCATTTTTTAAAAAAAGTCTACCTTTTCAGTCACATAGAGAAGAGAGGATGAATATGTATGTCGAAAGTCTTACCTTGAGAGATGTAAACACTATTATTTTATTCTGATCTTATACCTTACATAAGATTTTTCAGAGAAAGATAAGTGGCACTACTACATGTAGTAATCTCTAATGGCTAACCTTATAACAGAAACAAATTGTAAAAATAGTAACTAACGCAATTTCGTCATCTTCACTCGTCTCGGCCTCTTCGTTATCATTGAAATGAGGAAGTTTAAAGTTCATCGGTCTATTCACATCTTTCAAACCATCTAAAGTCGTAGTACCGTTCACTTTAGGCACCCGTAACTCTTTACTTGACCCACCACCTGCCATTCCTCTGAAATATTTTTCTTTTATTTACAAGCAGATATTACATTTTACTCATATAATTCGTGTTACGCTATTTGCTATCTCGCAAATACTGAAGAGCTATTAAGACATTCCATCACAATTTCATTTTCTACACTATTTTTGCAATTCGAGTATTAACCTAATAGCTAAGAAAAAGACAACCGGAATAAGCGAGGGGCTGTGTGCAAGTTCGTGGGAATGTAGTTATCCAAGCGTGCGATATTTCTGGAGATGCTAGAAGATACGAATTATTAGGAATGGTTATGGTAGTCTAGATGTTGCCATGGATTGTTCGTTTCATTCCTACTCTAATTACATGAACATAACATAAAAGAATGGGGAACTAGCAACTGACTAATGGGTTAAGTGCCCTCAATGTGCAACTATTTTCGCTTCTGCAGTTTTCTGACCACTGCAGTTAGTTCTTCCAGCATGTAATATCGCCAAAGTATTTGTTCATTTATTCACGAGTGCACTTCCCGTTCTTTTTAAATACATTTTAGTCATGATCGGATATCCATTCAGTCCTGTAATGTTATTTATCATTCTTTAGAGCTTTCGTGCACAACAGGTCATAAACAGCTGTACTGCTCATGTTGATGATGTATTCTTTACTTCCGTCAAGTTAGTTCTCGAGGGTCGATTAACAGCATGGATTATCTCCACTCCAGGCGACAAATCTGCTTTAAATTCGGGTCGGCCAGGTTTCAGCTTCTTTGGATGAAGATCCAAATTTTAGGTCATCTCCACTTGTTTCCCATGACTTCACATAATTCTTGTAAAATACATCTAGCTTTTCCACCAAAACCATCTTGAAAAATGAAAAAGAAATAGAGGTGGTGAGTAATATTAATGTAAAGACCGAAAGTGATGATGTAAGCAGTTTATAATACCGTTGCTGATTGCAAAGGCAGGCACATAAATTGATAATTACCAATTGCATATCGAAAATGACGGGACATCGACCAATAATCGATCGAATATTGTGATGCCATTCGTCACTGTACCTGTAAGTTCTTTCTTTAGAGCATGCTTTGGATAGCAAGCATGTCTATTTTGCACAGATGATGTTTTCATTACTTCGAAATTTATTTGGGATGTGGACTCTCTTTAAATAATTTCCACGGAGTATTACTTTCAAATAGCAAGAGTTGTCACGCATTGTGCAGTCGCACAATCAATATTTCTATTTTCAATGACGCACCGAATATTCAACTCTTTTTCAGATATCTTTTTGCTTGAAATTTATTACCACTGAAAAAGGAACTCTCATCGATGAAGTCATTGGGATAATAATTTCTACCCAATATAAATGAAAATATTCTTTTTACAGTAAAAAATTACTCATTACTTCTATGACTTAAGTTTATAACTTAAGTTTACCATCTAATGCATTATTTATTCGCTTGTTGCATATATGTGCTTAATCTTCAATGAATACGGACTGAAAACTTTTCGAATATAGAAAGTTTGAATAAAAATGTATTATTGAGGGGACTGATGAAAAGCAAATAATCATAGAGAGATAAATAGCAAGGAAATGAATCGGATATGAAGGATATGAACTGTTAATAAAAATATGAGTGGCTTTGGAGTATAATTTTATTTTGTGTTCTTAAACGATTTATAAATGGAATGGAGAGACTAATTTTTACATCAAGGCTACTTATTGATCAATAGAAATTTGAAATGTTTTCAGAACCTTCATCACTCACAGATGCCAGCGGACACACAAGTAGGCTAAGATATAAAAGGAATGTACCTTGTATTTTTGTAGCGTTAATATACTTAGTTATCAATCTTAGAAGGAATAATTTTACAGAACCGATCATAATGTACCACATAAAATCCGAAAAAGACATTTTGATCAGAAGAGTTAGTTACTTGGAACAAGGGTTAAGACATGAAAAGCTTTTTTTTTTTAATTAATAGCAAATGCATCATAAACTCCCTATATATATTGTTCTGCTATTGACAAAATTCACTGTAGTTTTTGATCTGGACCCGCTTTAGCAGTTACACTCAAGTCTGCTGACTCTGAAATATCCCAGTGCTATTTAGTAATGCAGCTTTTTATTGATAAGATTATGAATGAAACACTGGAATCGAGACAGCTATATTTATTAGTAGCAAAAGTGTTAACTGTTCATTTCACTAACTTGAATACAGAAACATTTTAAAAGTATTCCTTTTTTTCTTCCATCACTGTTTTCCGCTTCTTTCTAATAACTATGCACTTAATGTTATCGATTCATCTTTTATCTCTCATTACATATTGCCACTTTGGCTGCATTTATTAATGGATATGTTCCCCGCTTACACACTCCCTGAAAAAAACTAAGTATTCAGTGCTGAAGCAACAAATAGTAGAATACGAAACGCTTAATATAATCTTACAAACAGGGAGTAACAAGCAATACTTTATAGTCATCAGATGCCAGGTCGTATATCATAATACCGGCAAGATTGTGTGTTTTTATGTAGCTCGCCTTCGAAAACATCGTTATTGGATTTTCTAGCCCCAACCATTGCCGATCACCACCGTGTATATATGCCGATCGTGTCTTCTCATCAAACACATATTTATAATTCTTTGTTTTCGTTAGATTGCACACCTCAAAAGAACTTTTCTAAGGGACAGAAGCATTATGAAAGAAGATGGGAACAAGAACTTTTGTCGGAAGCAAGTGTTGCAGTGACCAATGATAGCTAACAATCACTTTAAGGAGATGATATAATAGGGTATCGTCGTAATTCATTTTTGGATATAACTTTCTGCGGTATCCTTTCAGCTAAATTAACCACATCTTTCATACAGCTTTTCTTGCAGTTAGTACTAATAATTTATCGAACTTTTCATTTTTTCAGTTCTAATTTACCAAGCTATTATTACTTGATATTAATTAATCGAGTGCTAAATCGTTCTTAGTTACAGGCTTTTGTAACCGAACTTTGTGAAATTCAATGTACACTTCATAGTCCGAAATGGATTTTGTGCAAGTATCAATAAATGAAAGTGCTATAATTAAAATTTTATATGAAAAGTGCCTTGACAAATGGATAGGCAGCACCAATATTTGCATGTCCGACAGCTGGAGCGTAGAGGAAGTGAAAATATTTGTTAAGAAGTGTGTAGCCACGTCCGTAAGTGGGTATGCCGAATATGGTCTTGTTGGCCCAAAGACCCCTTTCGAGCCAATGCTGTGTCGAATAATCCTGAATACTAATCATTTTCATTTTGAGTACTCATTTTAAATCTCATGTCATAACTCTTCTATGATGAGATTAATTGCAAATTAACCGAATTCATTTTGCTGAGTATTCCAAATTCATACTGTTTAGAAAACAGTGGTGCATTAAAACCTGTGCAAGGTTCCAATTTAGAGTACATATGAAAGTCGTAATTCATGATTTGAACGTAGTCCAAATACCTGAAAGGAAAACCATACATATGTAAGGTTCCTGTTAGTTAAATCCCTGTCGCGGATTTTAATATCGCGAAACTCTAAATTGCTATACGAGAGTTGAAAATACAAGTAAGAAATATAGTATATGAACTTTTGCAAGTAATGTTTATACCTTAAACTCTTTGTTTCCAATCTTATGTTTAGACTGTAAATCTTTTATATATCGCTTACACGGTATCAGCTCCTCATTTAGTTGACCTCGGTGTAATGCCGCCACTAATTGTAAATTATCGTTGAATCGATGAGGTTAACAACTTTTGCTTAATTGATGCTTGTCAGTTAGTAATTAGAACTGCTTGTAAACCAGGTCAACAGTTCTTTGTTAGACCGATTATTCTTTCGGTAGGATTAACCACTTATTGTAAATCATATACTTTATATACGTATATTGCTTGATATATAAGGAGATCACCCTTTTTGGGAGGGGACATTGTATGTGCTTTTTACCAAGAACGAGGAGAGTCAACTTCAATTACCTATCAAGTCATTGTACTATTGCTTCTACTAGTAAGAAAATTATTATACTCCTCTCTTGAACGTACTCCACATATTTACATCTACATCCAACGAGTCTCTCTCTCTAAGTAATAATTTAAATTTTCAAATCTTCCACAATAACTCCCACAATTCTTAGATTTAATTATTAATGGTCAAGATTAGCATTTTAAAATTAGCCTGTATACAGTGGTGCTATTATGTCATATTTGTAGTGAAGTTGAACAAATAACAATCAGCTGGTAATCAAAGACTTCAAAAAAAAAAAAAAAAAAGACTATGAAAGAACAACTTGTTGAATGGATTAACATCATAAGCCTTATTAGCGATTGGAGCGGGTGCAGCCACTGCTGCACTTAACAGTAGATTGGGTTTCGCCTGATCGAAACTTTCCCGCAATTCCTAAAAAGACTGGGAAAATATTAATCATTCTTATTGATTGAACTCTCAAAAAGGCACTTCTTCAAAAATAAAGGATTGCGATGCTGTTAAGATAATGCGCAAAGGACTTACTTTGATAAGGACAGACAGACCTTTTCTATCTGTGGGCTGTGCATCCCGACTCCATACTGGGAACTCCCAGTCAATGTCGAAACCGCTCACCTCATTCGTAACCAAGTACCGTGTTACATTTTCTACCAGTTTTCTTCGTAGTTCACTGCTTTTTACCTGAAAACTAATTTTTTTCTTTACCTCGTTAACATTTGGAGACCTGAAATGAAGCAATCCATATAATATCAAAATACTATCCTTTTGAAGGCATTTGGGAGGAATAATATAGCCTGATATAAATATTTGAGAAAAGACAACTGTAGTTTAAGCTCCAAAAAAATCTACTGCAGCATATAAAATGACTAGATAGTGCCAAAATAAAAAAGAAAATATTTCGGTAAAGAATGAGGAAAAACTGAAAGAAGAAAGAGAAAGAAAAGGGAGACTCCACAGAAATCAATATATATTGAAGTAATTGATGCATTATTATCAAGAAATAAGACATGAAACGTACGAGATGTGACATGCGACTGTTGACAGGTGTAAGAGTAATTAACAGCTTAGGAGATGGCCGTTGATCATACAACCACTCTCTTGTGGTAGCCAATGCGCTCCTATTAGGCAAGATGACATGGTGATGTTCATCGATTGTACAGGAGCCGATCAGGTTATAATGAGTGCATAAATTTTCTTCCAAATAGTTTAGAGGTGGATTTTCCATCCTTTAAGTACTTATTAATAGTATTTAAGAAAATAGCTTCTAAGTGAATTTAAAATACACTGATATCTTCTAAAAGTGGAAATTAACTTCAGGTGAAGTGATAAACTTCACCTGAAGTTTGTAACTGATAAACTTTTGCTGGATTAAATATCATACATTAGAAAATGATAATGCGGCACTAATTTTCTACAAACAAAGAAAAAAAATTACTGGAAGTAGCAGCTTATAATTGGCTGACAATCTAGGACCAGAAATATATGCATGACACAAATGATCATTAATAATGAAACCATCTGAAATTCAATACTAATTTTCATAAAGATGTTATTTGACCAAACAAATCACGATCGATCATCCAACTTTCAGTGCAAAAAACTTAGGACTATTGAAATAGGAGCCCCCTGTTATCATTATCGATGTTAGTTATGATCATTAATGTAATCATTGTAGTAAATTGAAAATAATGAAATAATTATCTCATTACTAGACAAACATGGAATAGGACATTTATTAAAATTTTGCAAGAGTTCCAATTGGACAAAAGATAGGAAGAGAGACAAACGAAGGGATCTGATGCATCTGTGTCATTTGTTTATGTTCTGCAGTTACTAATAATGATTGATGCACTCTTTAGATTGAGCTCCTGAAATCAGGTGTGCTTTGTGGAAGAATGTTAGCTGTACACACGAGGTCATTAGGAAATCCCTGCATTAAATATTCTGGCACTAATATGTTATGCTTGTAAAAAAAAAAAAAAAAAAATACAATGCTAACCAAAGACAAGCTCCAATAACATATGTGGCTCATAGTGCCTAAAATTGGAGAGTACAATCATCCAGATTTTACTCTCCAATTTTTTCTTTTTTTTTTTTTTCTTCTTCATTGTAATATGAAAGTCTAATTATAATATGAAAAACAATTTATGTTCAAATTAAATAAATTTCATGAGTCATCAAGTTTTTCTCCAAAAATTAAAAAAGAATAATTTAGTTAACTAATCTAAGTTTAAAGATATGAAAAGAGAAGGAAGAAAGAGTTACACGAAATAATTAGTTTTTTTTATGACTGTGATATTTGTATTTCAATAATTTTAATAGTGTCACAATTTGTTTATATTCTAAGCATATTCATTGTACCTTATTATCACTACACTTCTCACTATTTAAATTATGCAACAAATCATGTCATATTCCTCAAAAATCTTCACTCTTTGTATTGCACAAACATGAATTAAAATATAACATCTAAGTAATATAATAGAATACTGTAATATATATTTCAATCTATGCTATTCGTAAAGCAAATCATTTCATACTTAACACATTTACTAGTATAACGATCAGCTTTCGATGTTAGTACAAAATAGACAAAAAATCTTGTTGCAAGGCTACAACGCTGCAACAGTGTAAAAAACACTGCGACGATTTATAGTGTGAGTGCAATTTCAGATTAGATTTTCCTACGGGTGTCGTGAGACGGGTTCGGATGAGTGTTTATCCGTTCTGGTATTTCATTTTTGATAGTGATTAGTCAGTGATATGCATACATTTAAAGCTCTAAGGTAATCAGAGGTTACCTGAATACGTGCTAGGTACATAATATCATGATGTGTATCATTGTTACTTTGTAGTACTATTGTACAGCTTATATTGCTCTGTACAATATTATTTAATTGACCAGAGCGCACATCCTTCTGTAAGTGACCAAAAAACACATATTGTTACCGTTTTATGCTCCTTCGTATTTGAATACTTTTATCCTGCCTTATCTTGTAATTTTTTTATCTCTTCCGACTTTCTACCTGTTGTATCCACATTATTTATTGTCCGCGAAAAAATTTCTCACTGATTAATTATAAATGAAAGGAGTAATATTCTCATGCCAATTAACTTAATTTGCATGAGATAGTAAGTGAAATAGTATAAATGATTTGAACTTGTCCGAAAATGAAGTGCTTTTTTCACTAAACTGATTGTAGATGGAAGATGATAATGCTACTGACATTTATAAATGGATGTTCTATACTAAGGATGAAGATAATTTCTATGATGAAATGGAAATGGAAAGTAATGGGACGCTGAAAAAAGTTGAGGTTAGTCCTAATCTTAGAATGGTACTGTGATACAGGAAAATATTGTATGTAGAAGTGGGAGAGGGAGAGAGATAGAAAATACCTCCTAGATTTACAACAGTTATTTTCTGGAATCTTAATATTTTCCAAAATTAATGTATGAAATCAACTGAAAATGGTATGAAAAGCATCCTTCTTGAAAGATGCCCTTTTATACTCTGCGTGTCTGGATATTTGTTCTTCTGCCCTATCTTGTGACCTTTCCATCTCTCTCAACTTTAGGTCTGTTATATCTACATAATTGTTTCCATTATCCTTCACTATAGTAATTCTATGCAATGAATATGTTAGCAATTTATGTTTTTTTGTTTACATAATTGAACCATTTTTTAGTTGAAGATTCGCAGCAATGTGTTGGGCGTGCGCTATTGCAAAGAAGAGCCTATTGAACCGATGGTTATTGTGTTAGAAAAAATATGCTTGAAAACACTTCCGGATACGGATGGGAAATTTCCATTCATGCTAAGTTTTGACTCTGGATCAATGACATTTTTCTCAAAGAGTGAAGAGCAGCGTGAGGAATGGATGGTAAAGGTAAAACAAATTACTGTCATATGAAATTAGGGAGAGAGACGATATATTTATGGAGGAAAACGAATAAAAGGGAAAATACAGGCTCGCCAAGTAATTTCTGTATTTTTTTTTTGGTTTGAGATTTTTTTTTTTTTTGGACTAGTGATTGTTTTTACCATAAGCCAGTAACGACTTTTTAGTGAAGTGAAAAAATGTTAAAAGAAATGAAGTAATTTATCTTAGATATCAACTTGTTCGCATAGAATGGCTCAGGCGGAGCTTGATGAAATAGCTGATAATTTTTTTAATACTTGCACCGTTAGTGCTTTTGCTCCTCTTGCAACCAACTCGATGAATTCCTTTTATTTGACAAATCCCGTGAGGAAGACTTACAAATTTTCTATATCTCAAGTATGTTATTTCCTTCTATTACTTATTATTTTATCGTAACTTTTATTCTTGACGTACGGTTCGTTATCACTTGATGCACTGCACTGAATGATCGAAAAGTTATTTGCTTTGATGGTTTTTTTTATCGTTGCATTTAACTTTTTCCATTCTCAGCTGGTTTCATTTTCACTAGTGTAATATGCGTAATGACAACAATGAAAACTGTTCAGAATGTTAGTTTGCATTCTCGAAAGATCGTATGCGAAGAAGTTATGTGGGAGAGCAAGCTGTGCACAACATTACCTATACAGATGGTTAAATTATATCTAAAGTGGTGTAATGAAATGAGTGAACAGTTGAAGAGCCGTTTGTGGTGTGTACCTAACGAGTATGTGGACCCAATTCACGATTGTCTTAGGTAAACTTTTATTACTTTTTTTATAGAGTTGTTCTACTTTTACCTTCGTTTTGGAATGTTGCAGGTCTCATATATATCGCTTATAGGCATTTGTCCGCCAATCAAGAGATCTTCATGGACTCGTTGGAATTCCTTGAATCCTACGCGGGTCCTTCCTTTCGTTCCTCCATGGAGAAGTTCCGTGTCGCCTTCGCATCCGTACCTACTAATTTGCATCTGCAACAATTTTTCATTGAGGGACATTCCTATAGTTACCTTACCGTTGGCACTGCCAGTGCTATTCCTCTTCGTTTCGCGGTAAGAATTACTGAAATTATGAGAGCTCCTTGAAACCATTATTGTGCTTTCAGTTGTGTTTTTTTTTTTTTTTTTTAGCACGGTGGTTTAACAAAACAGCGTGTCTCTCTCTGTAGTTCGGTGAACAATCCAAAACAAATCGATCATATTCTTGATTGTCGATTTTATCGCAGACGTCGTATTTTACAAGCTGCGAAATATAAGATTGGTGAACTGTCAAGAAAGATCGAAACTGACTGGCATATTGCAGACTTTGGTAAAGTAGACAAAACTGGTATACAATTACTGGCCGAGATAAAGCAAGTACGTGTTCTTGATATGAAACAGAAAACATATTATACTGATTAATGATTTTTATCACCTTAGTGCTTGCAATATTATTCTTTAAAAAAATAAAATGTTAAAAAAAAAAACAGCATATTATTTTTTCAGCTCCATGAAAATTTGATTGATTTAATTAGCTCTTTCCCAATAGTGTCTACATTAATCGATTATCTCTTGCATTGGTCGAAAACTCAGAGTTCCATGACACGATTATGTTTGGAAAAGGTTTTGTTTGATTCTACAGCATTGTGTAATGTCTACAACATATATAGGGGCCAACAGCAGTATCGGCTGCCGTATAATAAGGAATGGTGGAGTCTAAGGAATACTAAGCTTTGTTTCACATTTATTACTTTGTAGGTGATGTACTCAAAAAATTGAAAAGTTCCTTATTTGAACTCTACAATGAGTATGACTCAAACAGAAGATGATTCCGGCAACTTCCAGTGAAGTGCAACTAGTAGAAGTCAAGTCAGTTCTGTGAGGCTCAGTGCTGTTGGGCTTCTTTATTTATTGCTAGCCATTTAAAATTTTTTTCAGAGAAAATTTGCTGTTTTTACATCTTGCGACACAAGTAATGTTGTAAGCTTAGGCTTGATTTTAGCGCAAAATATCGTAAACTGCTTAGTACTGCTCCAGGAAAAACATGTTATAACAGACAGTTTGGACAGCCAGCTCGATACCATAGAAGCTTTTTTGATCAGCTTGAATACCAAAATGGCAGTTATCGATTCTGTACCAAATAATGAAGTAATTTCTTCGATAATTGAGACTAATTGTTTTTTTTGAAAATTTTGAGACAGTTATTATTGCTGTCAGATTTTCTGACAGCTGTTTTATAATTGATTTAGTTACAATTTAAGACAACTCAGACTAAAATATTTTGCAGGATTGCAGGAAAGAGTACGTGAAAAATGCAAGACACACTTTTAATTCTGTTCTTGACGCAATGCTACAATTGACGGAAAATCTTCTTGATGCTCAACTTTTAGGTGCTTGCTTATATTGTTTATGGAGTTATTAATTAGATATACTAAATATGTTTGGTGAAATATTTATGTTTATAGGCTTGGTTTTGGCTCTAAAAAAGTCCAACGACTGCCAGCTCTACTTTCATATCCAATTAAGAAGCGATTTGGTGTTGTCTCAAGCAATTACCATAGTGACAACTGGATTACTAGCTCTTTTGGAGCAGGAATTAACTGAACTGCCGGACTGGTCCATTATTTCACCACTTGTCACTGTGAATATTTTAACTTTTATTTTTCAGAAGTGAAGCATAGCCTTCTCTAAGCTTTCTCTAACTGACCATTTTTTCCTTTTCTTTTCAGGTGTTTTCTTTTCTGTCTTGCTACGGAGACGAGCGAGGCATGATGGAAGATGCGGGAGAGTGTTGGGCATCCTTACACGACCGAGTTTTATTCAAATTTCTTCATTCTACCTCATCCGTTGCATCAGTTTGCGTTCCAACGGTTAGTGGCGATCGCTCAAAACTTATCGTTCAGGTGCCTTTGCCACACAGTATATACCAGGTCTTTTTTTACTAAAAATGTATCTTATACATATTTTTATATGCTGCATTTTTGTAATTCATGAGTCAAATTTTCAGCAAGCTTTTTTTTATTTCTATCATCAGTATGACATTCTCCAGGGTTTGTCAGAATCTCTTCGATCAGGCTCTACATTCAGTGTGAATGCGGTGTTCTGGAATCTAGGGATCAATCATGAAGCTACATTCTCTCAATCAATCGCTGGCGATAGCTCGTTGGAGCAGTCTATAAATCTCGCTGCTGCTAAAGCGTTGGTCTCCTATACTTCGTCTCTGAAGAACATATCGCACATTGCTGAAGAACTTGTTGCCGAACTTACCACCACTGTAAAACTATTTTTTCAATATTTGATTTCTATATTGCACCTCCAGGTTATGCTATAAATTTTCTTCGCTGTTGTACTTTATATATCTTGGGCTTGTCAATTATAGGTAGAGGCAAATCCGAGCAACAAGAATATATCGATCTTCCGACTAGTGATGGCTGCAAACGCTGCGCTTCATGGAATTGCAGTACTCTGTTGCAAAAGTGGTAAGGACCGTACATCGATGGCCATTACTTACGAAGAAGGGCGAATCATACGTGAGAACTGTGGAATAACTGCTGAACAGGTGATTATGTTCGTTGTCATTTAAGAGCATTAGTGCAAATTTTATTCTGCCCTAATTTTGTAAGCTCACTGTTATAAAATCCTTTACTGTCATATTGATTGAAGTCGTTTTCTATGTACGTGAAGATAAATATGGTTTTGCCTTTTCAGATGGGAGAAATGATTGTTTGTCTGCGTCGAGAAGGTGTGCGACGTGAAAATTGTCGTAAAAATATTGGAAGAGCATTGTATTCATTCTCACCTTTCCAAATGCACTTCATTCCCAAAGAGTTTCGGCCTCCCTCGGGCACCTTTGCTCAGGGAATTAGCAGCTAACCCATCATCTATTTTCGTATTTGTATATTCCTTTATCATACTGTTATTACCATCTTGACTTGACTAGAAACTAACAGCTGGAGATACTTAGTTTCTTTTGTTTACTATATACATCGTGAATTGTTCTGCCCTTTACTGTTAAAATTTGAGTTCTAACATATGTTGTTGGACTGTTTGATGTGTTCTTTTTTTTTTAAATTATTCAGCTATATGAGAAAATGAGCGTGGGAGAAATCAGTTGCTTCGGAGCAAAAAAGGATATGTTCCTTGTAAGTTCTTATTGGTTTTTGAGTTCGAGTGTATTAAGATTTCGCGATCCACACCTAGTGGGTTTAAATATTTTATTTGGCATTCAGCCTCTTGGTCGTGGTATCGTAATGGTTCATTAGCAATATTGTCAACCCATAGCCCTCTGCCTATCCTGCCGTATGAATAAAGGGAATTAAAGCCAAATTTATGATTAGGGTATTTTGAGATTTACTTGCTTTCAGGTCATCTATACATGCTTTATTTTTCACATTGTGGCAGCTTTTTCACTTGATTTTCTTTTCTTTTTTTCTTCGTTTTTATTCACTGCAATTTTGATTTGTTAGACTTTAATGCAGGTCAATAAAGATACCCGTTCAAAAGCATTGTATTTAAATAATGAAAAATAGTTTCATAATGCTATTAAAACTGAGATGCGCATTTGGTTTTGACCTGCTATGGTGTGTTGTTGTGATATTCATATGTTTCAGTGTGAACATTTATATATTCCAAAAGTAACTTTCGGGAAGTTGAACGAGTACGTTGAAATTCATGACAATTTCTTTCACACTAATGGGATTAATTCTGCATCTCTGATCTTTCTCGATTTTTTAAATTTAGACAATTAAATCTTTATTCGGATAAAGTGGTTAACAACTAAAATTTCAATAAACAAACTTAATGATGGTATCAATAATAGAAAAAAGAAGTGCAAATCACGCCCTATATTCCAACCGATAGGCCTAATTCAAATAATTACATAAAAGAATCTGTGCTTAGTCCACTTTACCAAGTGCGAGGGCACAAGAATTAACGTCTTTATGCGGCGCATATTGGTGTGGCGCTTTCTGTTAGCGTCTATCTTTAAACAGGGAGAATTGCTATTCCCTTGTTTTCGTGAGCGACAGTTTATAACAACGAAATGATAAATCAATTGCGGTACTCAAAGTTATATTCCACTCCGTTTTTTGTCTCCTTCCTCAATAATGGAAGAAAGTAATATGCTGATGGTTCAGTAATCTTACACGTCTGCGGGAAGGGAATAATCTTATCATCCGATTAATTTATATGGACAATGATATAATGTGGTGAGAATTATTGCTAGAGACTAGATTTTATTAATTAACTTCCCGTTGTATTTTTTATTTTAACTAGTAAATTATATATGTATAATAAGTAGAACTAATCTTTATATATACATGGCTTTTCAGCAAATAGATTTTCGTTAATGTGCTAGACCTAAAATCTGCTGCCTTGACAGATTTGAAAAACCATCTATGAGAAAAGCTTATCTTCAAATGTTGGAGAATTATCTACGGAACCTTTAAATATTTTTATTAATTTGAGGGCAAATTTAGGAAGAAATGAGTTTGAAGCTCACAGGATAAATCAGTTAAGGTCTCAAGGAGGACTTAGTGCGTCATGAAAATCTCCGTCAACTAGGAAACAGTTGGCATTGTCCGTAATCCTCGGAGTATGAGTACAAACCGAAGTGAAGCGGCAACGTGAGATGAAGCGGAAATGTAAGGAAGAATAGTCGCAGCAACGTGAAGAAGTGGTAGGACGCACCCAGTACGGGCATCTCTATTCCTCAGTGAAAAATTTTTAATTTCTCAATGAGAAAAACTTTTAATTTAGTGTGACGATACGATCCTAAAATACAAAAACGAGGCAATTTTGCGGAATAGCATTGTTTTATTCTTACTTACAGTGAATGTTTGGAAATATTGGTACTTGGACATTTTAGATATCTGCCAGCACCTGCATATTTTAAATCCGTTAGTTTTTGACACATTGCGATACCTTTTTTTGTAAGTGACGCTATCCTAGTATTTTATACTTTCCTCAATCATAAGGAAAAATCGCACAGTTATAACTTGTCTTGAAAGGGTCCGTCTGTTTTTTCTATGTCTTCTATGTTGAATACAGCGTCATAGATTCATTTGTCGTTCGTTACATGTTATTCACTGACATTTATTCCACAACATCATCCTGTGACTGCAACAATTGTTGGTGAAGCTGGAGAATATAATTGGTCGCATGTAGGAATGTGAGCAAGGTCAAATTGAGTAGATAGTTTTAAAAAGGTGGACGGGTTGATTAGCATAAGTATGTGCAGTAGATACGCCTCGATTCATACGTAAACAAGTAGTGTTGACCAGTTGTAAAAACACACTGGAGTTCAAGCAAAAAACAAAGTGCGAGATATAACATGTCTAGTCAGCAAAACAAGGCCAACAGGAAGCCGATATGGAGGTACATTCATCCCTAGAACAGAAACAGTTTTTGAAGAATTTAAAAGGGATGAGTCAACATACTGAAGTTGGTTTTTTAGTTTGTTGGGATGAATTCATTTCGGTAGTTCATTAAGAACAACAGTTCCACAGAGGATTGGTAGTGATAAGAAAGTATGATAACTTAGTGAAAATTCAATGGATTGTTGGTATCCTTTAATATTGTTATTATAAACATGTTTCCTATTACAAACATGATATTGCACGATATCGTACAGAACCAATAAAGTTATTATCGACATTGTAAAGTTACAACAACAAGAGTATCCCATTAAACATTCTCCCTAATTGACCTCAGATGTTCAAAAATTTTTCTTTACTATTTCTTCGAAGACAATATAAGTGGAAATTTCTAAAAAAAAAAAAAAAAAAAAGAAGAAAAGTTACGACTGTAGTACCACTTACTGTTAAAGTGAGCTTAATAGCTGCAGAAAAAAAAAAAATTTTACTTTCTAGTTTTGTTTGCAAGGAGTACTGTCATCACTATTAACAACAGCATACTCTTTTCCTGGGTATAAAATAAATGGCAAGTTGCTAACTTCCTAACAAAATGGGCAGTTCTGAGTTCTTATTACTGATTGGTTTCTCCTATAAAATTGTTAAAAGATATTAAATTTCCGTTCGACCTTGTTACTATTCACTTGTTTGCAAATTTCGAGATTTTAAGTTTTGAAAATTCCAAACAGCTGAACACAAAAACCTCTGAAAGGTTTAATTCACATTATATTTGGCAGCAAAGATGAAAAAGAACGATTCTTTCTAATTGATTTCACGAACGGATGAGCCAAAAGTTTTGATACAGACCATCTGGAAAACATCATTTACAAACATGATTATTATATATTTTGAAAGAACCACAATTTCTTTATTTCCTCCAAATTAAATAATTATTACGATAATCTGGCAAATTATCTTGTAATTAAAAATTGACTTTTACTCATCTTAATTCATATTCTTCAAAACAAAAACACCTGTTTTCTGGTAATGGTTTGAGGCAGTTATCCGTTATAACATGTAGTGATTCACTAAAACGCCGTCGCTGTCGATATTGCTGATCACGCTGCATATCCTCTAAAAACAATAAGATCTTTTTATAGTATGCTGCAGTATTTTGTAGTATGCGAAGTTATACCAGCATACAAAAACTAAAAGTTGATAAAAGATCTAAAAAGCCTACGTTTATCTGGAAGAGTTGTGCAATCCAGTAATCGTGGCGTAGTTCCTTTACTTTTTTCGAACAACATCTAAAAATACTCTTATATATTAAAAAAATGAAGTGAGAAAATACATACAAGAAGGAGGCAATCGAACAGCCAAGAACTATGTTTCTATGAAAGTTTAACAAAAGAACTACCTGTAAACGATCCATATCCGAGAAGGGTGGAAAACCATTGGCCATTTCGCATATCGTTATACCAATGCTATATATATCAGATGATAATCCATAACCATACAAATCCTAATCGATTTAATTTAGATTTAGAAAAGAATTTAATTTAGATTTTATCTAATTTAGAAGACAAGCAAAAGCGGAGTCGAAAAGATCCTAACACTTTGTATTTTGTCAAAGCAATATATAGAAATAAATCAGATGTCCATACATTTGTTTACCTCTGTGAAACAAAAACTTTTCAAGAAAAGAAATCGTACTTTGAAAGTTCAGAGAGCTAATCAATGCACATATTTTGAGTGCATTACACATCTTACAATATGGAGGAAACTCTTTCTTTGCATGCTTTCTACATGGCTTAATAATATTTCATATTATTAAGCCATGTAGAAATATTATTATGAAATATATTTGACAAAACACTTTAGGAAAACTAAGTTACAAGTTCAAAACTATTCTGGGGATCTTTAACTAAACTATATTGCATGAGGTTTGCTATTTAAAATTTAGCAGTTTTTCCTTACAAATCTTTATCCTACAGTGTGTTACCACTGAGCTAACAAACCTGTCTCAATATTTCAGGTGCCAACCACAGCAACTCATCGGAAATTTCCGCATCAAAGTTATGTAAAACATTATCGGTACCAGTTAGCTCATTACGCTGCAAAAATACACAATGGCGAAATCCAGTTAATTTCACCGCGCCCGTTGAATGCAGCAAAATATGACTGCATCGTATAGACCTAAAATTTACATTACTTTCATAGTTTAGTACAAAACTTCTTCGGTGGCCAAAAACTTCGGCTTGCAAACTTGAACTGAAAATTAGAAACAAAACCATATGGAAGTTTTCCTTCTTTCAATATCTATTATGACCTCTTCCTAAACTTCATTAAATGGCATCTTCTCTAAACAGCAGTTAGTCTAAAATAAAAACTAATCTATGGACAATTTTCTGATCATGCAAGTACTGCACGGCTAGCAGGACATTTTTAAGGACTTGAGCAATTGCTTTTTCAGGCAGACCACATGGATAGTGATTGTGCACCACACTTAAAACTGAACCTGAAAATGTAGTGAAAATATGAAGGCAAGAACAGTGAGTTAATCGAAGGAATGCGAAATTTTATAAGTTTACAACACTTGTTAATGCTTATCAACGAAGAATAAAAAACATGTACTTCTTTTTAAATTTATTCTAATCAAAGTAAGATCCGTGATATGAGAGTACCCATCTTCCCAGTGAGCCTTTGTATTTATCTATATCAGTAACAGAAAATAAAAACTAAAATTGTAATTGTTCTCAAAAAACAAACAGAGATCGCAATAGATTGAGAAGACATAAACGTCACTTCCCACAGAAATTATCTGATTAACTGAAATAATACACGGATGAGACAACCATTTCAAAAACCACACTTCTTCCTGGAACAAATATAACTAAATGAAAAAAGATATTCCATAAAGAATACGTACAAATTAACAGCAAATTAATTTATAATCTTAATCATAGGCAATTTTAATAATGCAGAAGCTTCAAATGTTTCTTTTCAATTCTTAAAGATTTAAGATTTATACCAATTTTTCTGAACACAATAGACAACAACCTTTATCTTATCATAATCCATCTTTTCGGTGGGCAATATCCGTAGAGCGGCGAGACTTTCATCTGCTAATCGTTTTACAAGCAAAACATCGCTTAATCCAGAACATGCTTTACCTTGGAAACAAAAATAATTCAGGTTTCTTTCCAAAAATCGAGAATATTATTTAAAAGTTTAACAGCATAAAAATGAAAAAGAATCAACCCGTACATGTCATTAACATATTTCACAAATCATTACCTAGTGTTCCGCATATAGTAAAATCGGGCAATGAAGACATCACATCAAAATGCTATCTTTTGGCCGTCTTTTAAAACATTAAATTATACTGAAAAAATAAATCTTACATCTGATTAATTAAATGTACAACGACCTAACCATAAAATTCTGCCATTTCCACCTCAACCTTAAGAAATTATCCTCATTTACAATGCATCACTATTATTCTAACATTAATAGAACAAGCTGAATTAATTTTTAATTCTATGTTTTATACCATTCCACAGCGATAATTCGCAATGGTAGATATTAAACTAATTCAGTCATTCTATCCTTTCTAAAAAATTCAGTGAATTAGATCAACAGGAAGTAATACGATCTAGACGACTGGATCAAAGCACAATGATCTACGTACAAATAGCATTTTAAAAAATGTAATCAACATTTATTTCATCTCCAGATCAAATAAAAAAGCAGTGGAATTTCAGGCAAAATATTTAATACGAAAACAGAACAACAATAAAATGCGGGTCGTTTTAAATTCCAAAAAATGCCATCAGATTTCAGATTAATAAGCATTAGGAACGTTTAAAGAGATTGAAAATCATAATCCAGAACCTGCTTCACAGGTATCAGGTAGTCATGATAATTTTGTAGATAGAATAAATAGAAATTGGACTGCATGACACAGTCGAACAATCTACAACAAGGTTGTTGATGGCATAAGATAAAGGCTCTTTCCAATAAATGAAAGACATCTTGCAACAAAATTAAAATATTTTGAGTCCCTAATACAAAAGTTTAAAATGTTCGGCACAAATATGCTAATTAAATCACTGAAATATAAAAACTCTTGAGTCTTTATTCTATACAGGTTGAAATATTTTTTCATTCACAGAAATTTTATGTAAAGATGTTTTCAATAATCGAGCAACAGTAATACAACCTGCATAACTTTGAGTAGGTAAGATGTTTTATAACATACATGGTGAGTATAATACCATCTGTTACTACCTTGATCATTATTATTATTATTAAATACGCCATTTAGTTCCTCGGCTTTACTAGTAATTTTCACTTTTATTAATATTTATTGAAATCATTACTGAGCTCCCAGTTAAACTTTGTGAAATCAGTTCTGAAGCTCACACACACCTTCGCTGAAAAGCGCTTTTAAGTAGGCTCTCAATTTTATTATTAACTCCTCCCTCGTAGACTGAAATGCAGTTTTACAAAAGATATATTAACAAGATGATTATTTAATTGTTTTGTCAAAATAATTCAAAACAATTGAAATACAAAAACATGAAAAAAAGGACACTAAGCGTCTACCAAGGAATGCATAATTCTGTACTTTCCAAACTCATCTTTCCTCATTATCTTCTAAAACTCATTAAAGCCAACTTTTGAGTTGAAGTATGAGGCAGACATTTGTTACATTAGATATTAGAAAGCACTTATTAAAAGGAAAAATAAAATATGATACTATTCCTCAATCTTGTACAACTGGGAAAGGAGAGAACATACTGTTGTTACTGTCGTTGATACGGATACTACTTTAATTGAATTGTTTTTGGAATAAAAAGAAATTTGGAATACGATGAGGCGAAAACTGTTAAATTGATGACTACGAATTTCTTAAATCTATGTCAATCAATTAAATTAATAAAAAATCTGGAACATCAATAGACAAATTAATCATATTCCTGGAATTATAAAAAAAAAAAGACTAGTTAAAGAGTTCAGGAAAAAACATTAATGAAGCAATCTACAATGGAATATCAGGTAATTGGAGCAATGTTGGTTCTTATTATTTATCTTCGCACAAAACTGACTTTATTATAGTGCACGATACGTAACTAGAAAATGTCTCCAAATTTACTGAGGAACAGCAAATATTTGACTCCAACTGACAAGCAGACTATTTCCATTTATCAACATTGGATAAATGATACAGTTTTCCATTCACAAAGTAAACAATCTTTGCAAATAATCGTTAGTACTTTCATCGGCATCAATACTCTCATTGTGATGCAAGCATCCCATATATCTGAAGTGAAAAGTATGAAACTTGTTTTCAAACAACTCTGAAAACATTTAACTGCAATTCAAATGTTATTTGTCTCTTATTATATTTCACTACAAAATGGCCTCTAGAATTACAAAAAGTAAAAGCGAATATATGTTGGCAAATCATCATCAGGGCTTTATAAACGGACCATAAATATAACCTAATTTAAATTATTCAAGTTTTAATTTCATCCTGATCTCTCTAGTTTTTCAACGATACAGCGTCTTTATAAAAAAATTTATTTCTATATTTCCTACTTTAGAATAACTAACTGCTTTCCATTCACTCCATTATCTTCTGATACATAAATATCTTGAACCCAAGAATCACATATCACCTGAAAGAAAAAATTACTTTGTCTTGAAATCAATTTTTTTTTAAAATTGTATTTTTAATGAAGACGAATTCAAAAAGTGTCATATAATAATAAGTCGATTCGAACAATAAGCCAACCCGAACATCTGAAAAAAAAAAAACATTTTATTCCCACAAGCTATATCACACTAACGTATAAAATATAAGAGGACTTTAAACTACATCATTTTTCATCAAGCTAAAATCATCTGTGAAAATCTTCCTCTGAACACTTTAAGGTACATTCGGAAGTTTCATCGGTGTTTTACAATGTATTGGGCAAAGTTCATCATTCAAATAATTATTGAAAACACATCTTTCTTAGTTCCAAAAAAAAAATTTTTTTTCTTTGCTTTACAAAATGTCAACATTTAAAACCTTAATCTCTTTGAAAAGTTCCAAATTACAACTTTTCAGAAAACTTAGTTTTGAACTCTATTACAATATGGCCATAAACATTAAAAAGAATAATACCTTCCTGAAATCTGACCAGATCTAATCGAGATATTTGTGAGAATGATGAAGGTACTGAAAAAACTGGTGTCATATCAATAGAAACAGGGACTCCAACCTGTACCGGTGTGGCTACTGGGAATAAAGGTGGAGAAAGGAAGTGATTTACTGCTTGCATCATCAGCAGTACTAAGGGGGTCGTTGGTGTTGAAAGAGGCTGTGCTACTGGTGCCAAATTTCGAACTAGATTCACTGGAAGATAAAAAAATAAACATCTCGTAAAAACTCAGAGAAAGTGAATAGCAGCTTTATAGTGTAAAAAGAACGCCCATGCTTCAAGAACATCCCGAGAAGAAAGAAACTTCTTCTATTCATTTCAATTTTTAATCAACAAACGAAATCATCAATTTGTACATATATATTTGCTTATTCGTTTGTTTGCTTAGTTAGCACACATTTACGATACAACACGAGACTGAGAATAGTAAGTAAGCTTGCAAGCAGAATTCCATAATTTTACATTACCGGATGATTTCGCTACTTCAACAAAACCGTTGCTTCTAACAACTGATGGTAGGTTAAGTGATGAAGTATTCGTTGAAAATAGTGGGAATTCTGTCAAATGAGATTGTGGGACAGTTGCGGGAGATACAGCAGGCATTGGCTCAATAAAAACAGATGGAGGATGTGGTAGTATTTGCGGTATGAAAGTACGAAATTTATTTTTCGCAAGTACACATGTAGATTTTACACCAGCAGACAAATACTACCAGTTGCCGTGCCTATCGGATTTGGAAAGTTCCTATAAAATAAGGAACTTGGCTAAATGCTTTTTTTTTTTTTATTAAAGTGATTCAGATAGTAATTAAATTACCGTGAAAACTATGTTTTATAATTGTGGTCTCCTTGATGACACACACTGGGACATTTAGTTGCAGGAATGAATCTAGCTATGCTTCTGAAAGTGTAGCAAATTTAATATAACAAAGAATTCTAATAAACATTGAAATATTGATAAGGATTGTTTTTGTGCTTCAAGGAGCTCTCTAAATCTCCTATACTTTTTCAACATCCGAAACAATCTGACTAAACGGAAAAAAATTTAACACCACCTCATCCGCGTGAATTTTACATATGTTTTTATTATAAATAACAACGAATCGAATAAATGTACTGCCAATGTCCAATCTGGTAATTCTGAAACAAAACCATAAAATGTCTTTAAAAGCATGATGTTGAAGATAAAATTTGTAGGACGATGTCCTTATTTAATTAAATTTCTTAAATATTTGATCAAGCAAAAGGAAAAGTCTCTTACCACTAAAACTAGAATCTTAATACAAGTTTTAGAACAAAATACTGCTTAACATGAAGTGTTTTGTAAATAGAAACGCAATAATATATAGTAAAATGTACATTACAAAGCTGTCATTTTGATTAGTATTTTGATTAGCATGAAAATGATTGTTCTACATAACCTATCTACAAAAAAAAGGGAAGGAAAAACAAAACTTAGTTATGCCTGTTACATTTTCAACACTTGATATGCTTACTTTTTTATCTTATTCTGAAATTTACCATTTAAATAATCAAAATTAGCAAAGCGTTCGAAATGCTCGAATGTTGGAATAAGCATATCTCGCCCTGAACACTGTTCTATTGCTGTTTTCAAGTCTCTGACTTGTTGTTCGAAATCTTGAGTTGAGTGGAGCTTGAAAACAACGAAATGAATCTAGCTTAAGAAAAAATAAATTTAGCTTTAGTTTCAGACAGGGATGAAGAGTTATTTGGTTAATCTCTTGGCACCGCAATTCATTGTTGAAATAAAAAACCTATCAATATCAATATGCTTTATAAAATAACTGGAAAAATTCCTAAATACGAAACCAGAAATTTCACTACTGTTGATTGAAAGAACAGCTATCGCAATCTAAATATTTTTGAAACTTAAAATAACTTGCTTTGTCTATAATGCTTTGCATATGAGATCTATGATGCTGATCACCATACAGTAAAGCCGACCAATGATCTGGAGATATACGCAAACCTTGCTGAAAAGCTACTTGTACGATTTGTGCATCATGCTCACGACGCAGTGCGTCATAATCACGAAACTGTGTTTTCAGTTGCATCAATGACGATTCACCTTCACGTTTTAATACCTATAAAAGTAGTTAATTCACTGTAGAAAACTTATTGCCACACATGTTCTTAAAAACAGAAATAAACTATTAAAGAGAAAGAGTACACCGAATAAACATCTGTAAGCTGCTTCTTCAAGCTTTGAATGACCTTGCCACAAGAAACTGCAACATGTTAAATGCCAAATAAAAAACCAATTTCAACGAGTTTAAAAAAAATCAGTAATTAAGCATACATATGCATGAATTGTTTATAAGCAACCTACATGAAAGCAACCAGCTCGATAAAGCAACTGTACAACATGACCAACACACGTTTTCGAAGCTTGCGGATAATCAACCCGCAGTGTCTGCACAATATATAACACCAAAGTTTTACGAGATATCAATGCACCGTCCGAAAGTATCAATAAAATAAGCTTCAGAATTTCCTCTTGCATAGCTGCTCAAAATGGTCTTGTGGGTAAAAACAGTATGACAAAAAGAAAAATTATTTTAAAAATCTTTCAAATCACCAATAAATTCCGATCTGAAGTTTCAATTCAACCTCCTCTAATTTACGTTTTAAACATCAGACAATCAACTAAAGCTTTTCTGAAGCGCCCCTTTCATTGGAACAATATCAAGCAAGCAGAGAATGACTACAGACATAACATGCCTCTTACCTCCTCAGTCCAATCTCCATAGCTTATTATGACTGAAAGTCATGTTCATTTAGCTTTTTACCTGGACCTAAGAACTGGCATCCTCTAGAACGTATACTAGACCACAAAACTGTTGATATATTAGAATTATTTTGATGATAAATGACCAATTCTGAAAGAGCACGTTCTGCCAAAGCACGTGCTGTTTTAAGTGCCCGCTGCAGACCCTTATATTCCATCAACTGATAACACAACAGTGATATTAATTTGCGCTGCATCGGCCTGCTTAACTCATCACTCCAAACACTTCCTCCTGAAATTGGACAGAATTAGACATAACATTCCATTATTTAGAAAAAACTATAGACATGAAATTCAATCTGAAGGGAGGGAGAGAGAAATCTAACTCTGAATTTGACGTAACATTTTATTTCACAAGGCTCCAAATAGTAAAATGTTAAATTGCAAAAGCATTACCAAATAAGCACTCGACAGGATGTAAATAAGAGGCTAGTTCGACGAGATTCGACTCAATATGTCGATATTCATCGGACAGTTCTTGATTAATTTCCGGTTTACTATTGATAAATTCTGAGAGGATTGAGAGCAATGCAAGATTTGGAGGTAATTTTTCGAAAGGAATGGAAATTGCTGTCTGGAAAAATAAAAAGGAACATCCCTATACTAATCTCGAAAACAAAATAAAAATAAATCTCAAGAGTAAGCTTGAAGAATAAAACAAGTTGAGTACATAACAAGTTTTAGTGCTAATTAGTTTATGAACATCACCAATGACTGTTACTTAGTCATAAGTAAAAGATTTCATATAAATTGTTTATTCTTAGTTCGCATCAAATGTTTAAGAGACAAAAATACTAGAAACAAAAATAATTTCGTCCTCAAATGCCCTTCTGCAGTTCTACTTAGTAATTAAATAGTTGATTTTAAATTTTTATAAAGAAAAATTTCTCAAAATACCTGATCCAACGGACAGGTACTTGTGTTAAGCTCATTAAGACAATTATGACATATTGTATGACCACAAGCAAGATTTATTGGCAGTTTTTTGGAGCTAAAAAGCTGAAATATGGTCGTGAAATAAAGTTGGTTTAATCAAGTCATAAAATTCGTTATGTAAACTAATTTTTCTTATGTGTCAGTAAATAAACTACAAGATATACAGACACAAAACTTTCCTAACATTTATCTCGGACACAGCAAACAATAAAGTTCTCAAGGAAAAAATCAAAATTTATCAAAAGATCTGATTTTACCAACATTCATCAAAATTATCAGAAATTTATCCGACTTGTGCCAGAAAGTTCTCAAGAAAAACTCAAACATTTTAATGCATCGAAATCTGACAAAACTTGTTTTTTTAACCTAACAAAATCTACCAAGAGAAAGGCAATGTAGTAATGAAAGTCTCATAGGTGTAAAATATTACATATAAAAAAATATGAAAACAGAAATGAGGAAACTTACTTCTGAACAGATACGGCAACAAAGCACGTCAGACCATGAAGCGCTCTGACCTGTAGGGGCCATTTAATTTTGCCAGCAAATTAGCAATGCTACGACTGCACCAATCCCTCCCAATGAAATTGTGGACTTTTGTTGTTTAATCGGCTAACGGTAATTTAACTGGAAATCTTAAAACAAGAGATATTATAAAATCCAAACTATACATAATAGTACCATTGATACCTCGGTAATAGTTAATTGCGCAGCCTTACATGGATTGAAGTATTCCTGAAAAAAAAAATGCAAGTACTATATCCTTTCAGCAACTTTTTTAGTTCAAAGTCCTCACATTTAAATTCGTAATTAAAAAAATTAGATAACTGTGGAGACTGCTAGATTCATTACTTCATTACTTCATCATCATTCTTCAGCTAATTTATTATTTTCAAAGTAATGAATGATAATGTTAGCAACCGAATATTGAGCACTCAATAGTGTTTCTCTAATTCCGACAATTTCTCATGTATTTCTTCGAAAGTTTCGAAATTTCAAATTTATGATATCTGAACTTATTTTCTATTATCAATCATAAACCCTAAACGACAGTTAGTTTCCTTTTTCGACATTTAGCAGAAGTCGTTGTTTTTAAAAAATTGTAGATTCCAGCTTCGATTGCACTCACCCTTCCAAGAATGGAAGTATGGCAGTCAGCCAAGAATGAATCCCTTTTACTATGATTATTCAGCATTATTCATCAGCAACTTACAATACTGCAACATTTGTTAAACCCAAATATCGTCTAATAAATTGCGACAGGTCTGAAGAACTCTTCGAAATGTGCTATAAGAAATTATAAAGGACTGAAAATTTGGAGTATTTTTCACCAATATGGGCGACAAACCGTAAATTTGACCAAAAAGATGTCATCCAAAATTTTATTGTATTAATGAGAACATTTTGGAAAAGTCTTGAAATATCTTAATAAGCTGCCATTACTAGGTGAATGAATAAACTAATGAGAATGTAACTCAAACTTCACTACTAAATCATCAAAAATATAACAATAAAAAAAATCATTAGAATAGTTTAATAAATGAAAACTTCGGAGTATCACATACAAAGTGCGGACTGTCTGAAGAAACAAAATTACCAAATTGTCATATTTCTTATCAGTGCAAAAGTGTAAAAGAATGCAACTGTTACTATAAAAATATTCAAATAATCTTACGGTTCTTCTGTTTAATCAATACCACCGTGAAAATAAAAATATACACGTTAATTTTTAAGATACCTACTTCTGCGCAATTCGTTCACTTTCACACATGAAAAAATATTATCACAAAACAACAGCTTCGTAATTTGTGTAACAAGCGAATTCATTAGCAAGGTTATGTTTATGAGAAGGTTGGAACTTACACTTTCGTGCGTGAAATAGTCTTTCGACCTGAAACTCAAGGAATCAACCTCAAAATAAACTTACGTGCTTCAATCGAATTAAACAGTGGGAAAATAAGTAGTGATGTAAGTTATCCTTTTATAAGCAGTAATTTCATAATGAAGCACCTCAAGAGGAGACATCACTTACTGAAAAAAAGTTCTAATGTTTTGGAAGGTAATCACAAAGAGGTGAAATGCTAAGCAAAATACATGATCTCTGTCATTACATACAAGTCGTCTACATAGCTATGCAAAGACGGTTTGATCTATAAAAGCTTCTGAATTCAAAATGCTACTTAAATCCTAAAATGACATCTACATAGTTTTCAAAACCTAAGAAAAACTAATATAAACTTACAAGTTTCGCCATAACTAATCCCGTACAAATTAATAATTTCGTTGTGGAATCGCGAGAAAGCAGTCGTACTGTTTGTGCTACTTTGATTAAGCATTCATCAGACAGAAATGGTGGATCAATAACAATTAAATCAAATGTATTGTGGTACAACTGGGGTATTGTCAAAGGTTTGCGATAATCATACCGGACAAATTCTTTAGCAAATTTCGTCTCAAATCGACGGTCATATTCAAATAGTGTTACTGTGACACGTTCACAGGTTACGCACTGAAATGTGTGATAATTTTTGTATTGTTCAGAGAGCATAAATGATTTTTCAGATAACTTACATCATGATTTAGGAGATAATCAAGAAGTGTTGGACATGAAATGCATGCAATTCTTCCACCATCTCCAGTATTTCTTATACATTCTTCAGCAAGTTTTAAAGCAGTCTCTTCTGAATACCAGAACTGGCTCAGCTAAATTAGAAAGTCATAACTGAAGTATAACAAGGTTCCTTCGTTAAAAATATATTCTGCCCAATGCTATATTAAGACATATTAAAGATATTCGGAATAGTGAGGTTTTTGTGAGAAATTTAAAAACTGCAAGAAGATAGAGTGAAGAAGTTAAGTAGCAACTGATTCACAAAGTTTGTATCGTCATGTGAACCACTTCATGAATGACGAACCTGCCAATCTTCTTTAATAGTGACTTTATCAGAGGCATTCATTCCAGCATAAAATTCTGTCAGTGCATTCAGCGCCTCAGCAGATAATTGTGGAGTGTCATCCCTATCGTTATCATCAGAATTACGTCCAGCTGACATTGCTGTACTCTTAAGTAGTTCATCATTTGTGTCGCACCAAAAATCACTTTTATTTACACCACTATTTCCAGAATGATGCAACGACCGTACTTTTTCATTTCTTTTTTTTGAACAGAAACTGGGCATACGAAGTAGTAGAGAGATCTCAATATTTACATGCAAATCTTTAATTAAAGGACAAAAAGCAATTCAGATGTTTTTAAAATAGTAATGAAACAATCAATAAATGATACAAATTTAGGAACATTCGACATAATTATTTCACCTCACTTCGGAAATCCCTCGTTAAACATTCAGTTGCCTCATTAATTAGTTTGGTAACAAACATAACATGATCAACCTTACCTTGGACTGTGGTTTTGGTGGCCTGCAAAGGAAGATTGTGGGGTAGCTTACAATTTTTTAATGGCAAAACTTTGAGTCAAAATAGCCAAATTTAATAAATGCAAAAAAAATCGCTGCGAAAATTAGAGAAAACTGACACAGCAAAAATGAAAAGATATTGAATAGGAAAACTCATGCATCTCTTATAGAATTCTAGAAAGGACTGGAATTCAAAGCACAAAACTAGTTATAGCACAAGAAGTAACACCACTCATAATACTCAATTTAAAGAACCAATCATTTCCCATCAATGAATACCCCTTTTGATAAAAACTCTGATCCACTCTTAATAAATTTCAGATTCTGAACTGCACTATATTGAAAAAGTAAACCCCATTAACAAACTCAGGATTTTCTGAAATGCTCCAGGCAGTTTCAACGCTGAACATGGCAGAGAATGTACACAATACAAATTATTTCAGTTTAAATTTCTAGATTTCTAAAATTAGTTTGGTTTTAAGGAATTTATTTTAATGCAATCTCAATTCATCTGCCTGTGTGTTTCGAAAACAATGCATCACCTAAACATACACCTCCAGAAACTACACGTCCTAAATATCCAGACCTTCAAAAAATAAATTCAAAAGAAACTCTTCTTAAGCACGAAAAAGCAATAAAGGATATGATCCATATATTATTTCTCGAAAAAATAAAATGCACTGCACAAAACTTTATTTTTTACATTTTACAATGTTTATGCCAGAAATTGAAGAAAAGGAATGCCATCCTATCTCAAAAGCTTTGACAAAGTGCTGGAGTAAAAATAGACTTTGTAATAAAGAAAAAATTGCACAAGTGAAATTATTTCGTAGCATAAACATGCGTGTTATTTGAAAACGATCCTAAGCAGTTTCTAAAGGTTTTGACAGTTGGAAACTGTTCAGAAAATAAATAAACTTAATAATCGTCGCATGGGTTTTTTTGATTGTTCTCGTTGCCTTTAATGTGACGGTGTAGGATCTGCAGGTGCATCGTCATTAGGAGTAGCTGTCTGTTGAGTACTGCGATATTTCGTTAACTGCAGAATTTAAATCTAACGTTAGAAGTGTTTACGAAATAAAGATAAATTACAAGTTGAAACAAAGGAACAGAAAAGATTTCTTTCACTTATAATGTGCATGAATCATCATGGATGTCTACTTAGTACATCCTACCAAAAATATTAAGGAAACTTAAACACTATAATCAGTTATAATCCCATATTACATGAAGTGCATAAAACCATAGTTATACAATACTCTATTAAAAACTCATTCGATTATAATCTTTGTTTCAATTAATAATTATTTTTGCTTTATGTTTAAAAACTTGAGAAAATCAGTTTTACTTATGGTTCCAATAATGACAATAATGTTATTTCATATCTTAATATACTATTACTACAGCTTAAGACAAGTGGTTTCCTGGCTCGAAGAAGACTAACGATTGAAACATATTAAGAGTTACCACAATGAGTTAAATCAAAATTATAGTTTTATGAGCCTGCAAACATATAATCGAGAGAACCGCTTACGATTTTGCGAACATGTTCTCTTGCTAAAGCGACTGCTGTATCGCTGACATCACCAATAGGTTCAATGGAATCAGCTGCATATGGTGGATGGATTAATACACGATTGAGTACTTTGATATTATTACCTGACCATTCCACCCTATGTTCCAGTCTGCAATTATATATAATTAAATTAAACAGATATGATTAACCTTGCACAGTGATAACGTAAATTTACTTTTGTTTAAGATATTCTATGCTTCTCTGAATAAAGGGAAAAGGATGCCACCAACAGTTTGCTGAAAGGGAACAGAAAGGAAGATGCTTGAAACTTACGTTTTCCTGAGATGAATGAAAGCTCGTTGTCCCTCAAGCGATACATTAGTTTGCATTATGGATGCTTTCTTTCGTGCTATTGCACGATTCATTCGTTCTTGCACTTGCTTTGTGGATATCTGCAAATTTGGCCAAGGCAAAGATTGGTCACCTCCTTTATCTTTCAAACATGTTACCTGAAATGAGAAACTTCTCTTTGAAGTTTTACTTATTTTTAACAAATTTGTACACACAACCTGTCTTCAACTGATGTCACTCAATGTGCATGCAGAAATATCTTTTCTAAGTGATTTCACTCAGTCTGCATACAGAAATATCTTCCTGGTATTAGCGAAGTGGATTTTTCGAAAACTTTTTGGTATCGAATGACTTCTCAAACAATATTATCCGAAAATCAAAATAATATATACCTGTGCAACAAGCGCCAGATTGACGATACGTACCAACGGTACTTTACCTGGTCCTGAAGTATCTCCTGAAAAAGTAGACAGAGTACATGGTAAGACTGCATTTCAAATCTCATTCTGCCGAAAAATTTGTGGAACAAGCGACCGCACATTCTTCAAATTGCGTGCTTCATTTTATCTAATAGCTATTGCTGTCTAGATAAAGACATTCTCATTTCTGTCTAAATAAAGAGATTTTCCGGCAATTCTGGTTTAAAGTTCTCTGCTGATCACATCTATATATGAGACTATTGTAAATCCCACCGAATGCTACAGTAGTAATAAACAGATAGTTGAACTGGCCACTTCTATACGTTGCTAAGAGCAAACTTGACAAAAATATAAACTTAGAACAAGAAGTCGGGTCGGTTGATCTGAGCAGATCACCTGACCAACCGTCGTGGAGTTCAACACATTTCGACATTCCAACATACTGCCTACAGGAAATACGACATTGCTGTCCAAGACATTGCTCGAGGCTGCCTCTCCTACAGCTGCATGTGCGCTGGACAGTTGACGTGCCAAACTGCTACTGCTTTCCTCGCTCATAGATTCAGGAGTTGTTATTGTAGTTGATCGAGTGTTAAATATTGTCATCGATTCCTAACACTTTTCACGTCTCACTGTCAAACAGAATCACACTACTCTAAATTCGTCGAAAACAGAGGACAAACAAACTGAAATATGAAAGAATAAAGAACCGCTTACAACAGCAATTCCTAATTTGCGGTCATCGTCAAATGTACATTAAATGAAATCAAGTGTCACACTGGTGAACAACAAACAGACAAGCAGTGGGAGACAAAGTCACCGCATGCTAGAAGAGAAGTGAAGTGAAGGATGAGCCAATCATAGACCTCCATCCTAAAATCCAAAACCATCTCCAGCACCTCACCCTGCACCGTCATCTCCCAGATCGATACTGAGTCGTTGAAACACCGGCCGACCGCGAAATTATAGTGAGGTAGATGAGGAGAGAAGAGTAGTGTCTAGACTGTTGATCTAGGAGGAGGCCAGATATCCTTCACTCATTGTTTTTAGTAATTTCCTTTATATCTTCCTAACTGATGGGAGGATGTTACTCGTAATGAACATTTCTGTTGTTGTAATGTCCACTTCATTGCTAATGGTTTAGACTTGAGCTTGTTGTACAGAGGTAGCTGTAAATAAGGCGGACGATGGTGAAGATTTCAGTAAGACAAAAGGTAGTGGGTTATTTTTATATTTAGTGATAGTCATAACTACCGACTTTAGTCAGTTGTCGATGGGAAGCATAGGATATCATATAACGTGCTTATTAAGGTTGTTATGTAGTCTGATATTCCGCATCATTGTCGGGGACAAGATTGTTCTTGAAGATTTGATGTAGAAATATAGCGATTCGTCTTTCTTATCTCTATAAAATATGTAATTGCTAAATTAAGTTACTAAAATATTTCCTTTTCCGGGACTTGTGTGCTAAACTTACAATAAGCTCAACTTCAGTAATATCCGGATATTGTATTCAAACTTCAAATGAGAAAAGACATCAGTTTTACCTTATCTTATTGTTTTTATGAACTAAGTGAGCAGCAGTGATCAACCAATGGAATCGTCGATGAGTACTGCTACATCAGTGGCATTTCGAAACTGGCAAATGTCAAATAATATCGAGTCATTAGAAACGATCTACCAGTATGATTCAGCTGAACAACAAGCTATACGAGCTGTGAAGCCGTGGGAAAAAGATCCGCATTATTTCAGAGTACGAGTCCTTCAATAGCTTTTCAGTTATTAATTATGTCCTGTATTAGTTCTGAAAAATCTATCAGTATGATTCAACAATATAACTGCAGCATCTAGTGTCCAAGGTGTTTGGATTAAGTCAAACATTATTTATATTCTTTTTTAACAATAAAATTCATGAGATTATGATTCCAGGAAATCAAAATTGCTGCGTTGGCTTTGCTGAAAATGGTAATGCACGCAAGGAGTGGTGGTAATTTAGAAGTAATGGGATTAGTGCAAGGTAAAGTGGATGCCAATACATTGGTCGTGGTAGACAGTTTTGCTTTACCTGTAGAAGGTACTGAAACACGAGTAAACGCCCAAGCTCAAGCATACGAATACATGACGACATATACAGACAGTTCAGAAGCAGTAGGAAGGCTTCACAAGGTTAATTATACTAGAAAACTACCAAGAACAGAGGTTATTTCTCATTTTTGACAATAGGACATTCAACTGGATCCCAATGTTTATTAAATTCCTTAGAGCATCAGAAATTTTCGCTTTGGTTGGATTTATGCACTTTGATCGTATAAATGTGATTTTATGATTTAATACATTTTTAGAATCTATTATTTTCCTGATTAAGGTCGTAGGATGGTACCACAGTCATCCAGGGTATGGATGTTGGTTAAGTGGAATTGATGTATCTACTCAGGCCCTCAATCAACAGTTCCAGGAGCCATTTGTGGCTATTGTTGTGCGTTTTGATAATCTCAACTTTTTTGTTTTATCAGATTTAATTTTATTACGAAATTATTTTTATGCTCACGTAATAAATTTTCGTTTTCTTTAAAGCATCGACTGTTATTTTATCTTTATTGTAGGTTGATCCTATCCGGACAATGTCAGCTGGGAAAGTAGAACTTGGTGCCTTCCGAACTTATCCGAAGGGTTATAAGCCTCCCGATGAGGTTCCTTCAGAATATCAGTCGATCCCATTAAACAAAATTGAAGATTTTGGTGTTCATTGCAAACAAGTATTACATTTATCGTATTTAATTTCTCCATTATTTCTGGTGCTTATAAAATTGCTCTCCAAGTCTTATAGAAAATTTTGAACACTGTCCTTATCTGATGAAGGCATAGTATACGACAGAACTGGGAAGCACGCTTCAAACTGCAAACAATTATAATGGACTGATTCTACCTTTCTATAATCCCTATGTAGTTCCAAGTAGGTGTTAATATTTTCAGTATTATTCTTTGGAAATATCCTATTTCAAATCAGCTTTGGATGCACGTCTCCTGGATTCTTTGTGGAACACTTATTGGGTCAGCACTTTGTCCAGCAACTCATTGGTCACCAATTCTTCGTACATTACTTCGCAAATCAGTGATCTCGCTCAAAAATTACAAAATGTCAGTTAAACTCGAAAGATTTTTCAGATTTCTGGAGTTTTCTATTTTACTGGAAGGGATGGTTCAACTGCGAAAACTTTAATATTATCTTGATATAAGAAACTGAAGTTTTAGGTAAGCAAGTGCAAAAGTATTCAGGGACCGCGTTCACTAGATTCAACGATAGCAGATAAATTGTCGAAGATAATTAAAGATACAAGAAAGGTTTTTCCCTTTGGTTTTATTGGTGCTCATCAAAAATTGATTGGGAAGAATTAGTTTGTCTTCTTCAATTTTCGCCAGTATTCTGTAACTTTTTGTAGAGAATGGAATTCGGATGTTTCCGAAATGCACATTTTTATCATATACATTTTTTGATTTCAGTGACAAATTTAAGCCACTTGAAAATCTTTTCCCATATCTAGATAAGCTGTGAAGTCACGCATGGAATGATGGTTCAGATGGTCAAGAATGCATTATTCAACCACGCTTTCTTTTCTTTTTCGGAAATAGAAAAATTTTAAGTAAGATTTTATACTTACAAGCATGACGTTGCATCTTTAGACATGATTCTTGTCATTCATACGAGGCAATTAGCAATTTTGGGCTTCAGCAACGAAAAATATGACCCTGTGATGACGGTCAATCATACGGCTACTTACTCATTACTAAAGAGTGAATGATCATATACTGCAGGTGGTCCTGGTGAAACAAATAAAAATTTATAAAACTCAAATGTAAGCACAATGATTCCCCAATTCCGGAAATTATATTATACTATGATCGCCAAGTCTTGAAGGTATGTATATTGTAAGAAATAAATTCTATTTTAATGATACGGATTATTTGTACATTGTAGCAACAAAGCACTTCCGCTCATGTAACGAACGAAAGACAAAAATCCTCCGACAAATTAAATGTCATTTAGAATCCCAAACTAACCTATCACTTCTCCTTTCCTTTAAAAAAATATTTTTTATTTCAAAGCGGAGTTTAATATTCCATGTAATTGGAATTTAACATTTAAGTATATGTATACAACTGAATCCAGGTTTACACAAATATCGGGTTCCATTATTCTGATGCCGCAGAAGAGAGCTTCAATTAGTTGGTGGAATACGTGTAGCTTAAAGGGGGGAACGAAATTCGATAACTCTGTTACCTCTAAATATGTTGCATGTTACTTGCTATGCTATTTACTATTTACGAAAGAAGAGTATTAGTTTAAAGAAGAATGTGTATCGTTTTATTCAAGTCGCTTGATTAACAAAAAACAACAGTTTTCATGCGATCGACCCAGCGTTTGAAGCAATCCTGGGCCACAGATCTGCACACTCCTTGGCTACTGGCCCAGTAATGGCCGAGCCCTTCATTTCACCTTTGTTGTTTACAATGACGCCAGCATTATCTTCGAAATATATGAATGAACCATCTTTCCGACGGTACTGCTTTCGCTGTCGCACGACTACTGCTTGCAGGACTGAAAATTTCAATTTATTATTGACCAAGATAGGGAATGACTCCTGGTAGCACATCTGCATTTAGACGGCACAACTGAACTCAGGAACCTCCGGAACGCAGGACAGTTTAATCAGTAAAATTACATTGAAAATTACAGAATCAAAAACAAATGATTTGGAAATGACCGTCATATATTTGGGTATTACTCTATTTTACAAGCCTCAGACAGCCAAGGATTTCTGCATTGCATAATCAGTTATAGTTGCGAAACCATCCTTCGAGCATCCTCATCGGCGCTTTATTCAGTTATACTATTGCAAATATACTTCATTTAAATGTTAGTCGAATCGGCGCGTTAACAACGCGAAATTGACCACTATTCTACGGATCTTGGCACATCATACAAACAGAAAGAGACCTTTTTTCCGTAGTTCAGGTTTGCCCTTCTTGACGGAAGCAACAAACATATCACCAACACCAGCACTCGGCAATCGATTCAAGCGTCCCTTAATTCCATATACCGCAATTACGAACAGATTTTTAGCGCCAGTGTTGTCGGCACAATTCATAACAGCACCAACTGGGAGACCCAAAGAAATACGAAATTTGGCTCCCGACGCTCCACCACGTCCTCTCTTCGACATATTTTAAACCTGAAGAGTATCATCTATTTACTAAACACAACATTTAGCAAATAGATGATAATGTAAGAACTTGAAAGAAATCCTCATGGTCCAAACATTATCACACTATCCTACGATCGAATCCTTGTCACTAGCGTGATGTCATCATCAAACAATGTATATATGCTTATTCATGCTCTCATGGATTGATCCTTGAAGAATCCGCTACAAGCAAATAATGTGGTGATAGTGTATCTTCAGGTAGAGTATTGCAATTCATCATGGGAAATTCAACTCATTCAAACCAGGGATAAAAAAATCAATTGTTCAGTGCTTACATAAAGCCAAGTGAACCATCAAGCATTTAAGAAGTGTTCAGACACATAAGCACATTTATCATGCAGTTCTTCTGAACTTAACGACAAGCAGAAATTTATTTATCCAACAATCACTTATTTTCTATAAGTAAAGAAATACAGCACCCAACAAATACACTTTTAGGAAGCAAGTAGAACTTCAAAACACAAATCCAACACCTCTAAACCTATTATATGACACCAACAAACCAATTTGTTTCCCAAATAAAAGTACGGTCCATAGTGACTATTCGAAGGTCGAAGTGCAAATAGCATCCCAAAGCCGTGATTTTCACTGTGTTGAAGTTTTCCGTTGACTTTTTTGTTTGACAGTTGTGGTTAATGAAGTTTCGGTAATCGCCCTTCATAAGTAATAACCATAAGTTTTATCATCAATGATGACTTACTTATGATAAAAACAAAAATTCGAAATGAAAGTTTAGAGTTAGAAAAAAGTCGAAAGTTTGGAAAAGTTAAGAAATGGAAATGAAAAAGACAAGAGGTCAGCAAGTTTAGTTGACTAGTCCAGTAGTGAGTTTAGGGTACAGTAAATTACATTTTCAAAAATGCTCTGAGATGAGTCCGTGACTCAAACTGAGAAAATAAGGGTTTCAAAGATTACTTTCGTTTATTAGTACTGTAATCACCATTCATATTTTTGAACTTTGACTTCGATTTAACAACAACAGCTCTATCGGTTTGCCTATCGACACAAAAAAATGCGTTTGAGATACATTGAGATTAGCAAATAATCAAATGTAATGATTTAATTGTGCTAAAAGCATTGATTTAAATTTGTTTTAAATCTCTTGGGATTTCCGCTTGTTGAAAGAACAGGATATTGCAGGGAAAGAAAAAGCCAATTTTTGTCAAAAGAATAAGCCACATTCTATGGTTTAATTTTTTAAAGAAATAAAGCTATTGGTTTATTATGTAATGCATTCCTTTTCCATATTTTAAATTCGTTGATAATTTAAACTGTAAATTGTTATGCCTATGTCATCCAAAAATTTAATTAGGAATTAAAATTAAGAAGTGAATTGGGATGAGCGAGTCATATCGTTGCTGCGTTATTTCTTTGTGATGCAGCGAGGTGATTTGTTTGTTTAACGTCATTTGTTGAATTTTGTTCAGATGGTCTGAGCAGGTGAGTTCTTGCAGGCAGTTGTGTGAGCGCTGGAGAATTAAGTCGGTTTTAGTTAATTTAATGTTATCGGAGTGTTCATGCTCCTCTTACGGATGGCGGTGGCATGTTTCGTTGGTCATTCCATGATATATCCAGATCCCTAGAACTGCAACTTATTTTCAGGGGAGAAGTGTGATAGTATAGGAGAAAAGAAATCATTTCAATGAGTGCGGCTTCTGGTCCGCGAGATTATGATCATCTCTTCAAATTGCTTATCATTGGTGACAGCGGTTAGTTTTTAACATTTCTGCATTAAAAGAATCCGTTAGCACCTTCCCATTTCCCATATATGAAATTTTTAACTGTAATAGACCCATTAAGGTCGTAATAGATTATTTTAAGAAGTTAGTCACACTAACTGATATAAAACTCATATTACAGGAGTTGGGAAAAGTAGCTTATTGCTTCGATTTGCAGATAATACATTCTCCCGTAAGTTTTAATAAAGTAATTGGAAAAGATTCTCTGCATGTTAAAGAAGTATAAAGATATGGTAGTCTTTACTTCTGAAGGAAACGAAAGAAATCTTAGATTTCAATCAATTTCTTTTTGCTTAGTGTAGATGCTCATTATTGCTTTTCGACCAATCAGTTATTTAATCTTTGGATTGATATCGAGCATTTGAATCCTAAGTCATTGTTGCAACTTTAACAGTCAGAAAACTAATTGCATTTTGTCAAGCTTCAACTTTTTTATAGCGAATTATATCACGACTATCGGTGTTGATTTTAAAATTCGAACAGTTACAATTAATGGACAGCGAGTGAAATTACAGATTTGGGATACAGCTGGCCAGGAGAGATTTCGCACCATCACTTCTACGTATGTTTCTTTTATTTCAAGGATTTTCACATTTGAAATAAGTTCTTAACGACCATGCTTTCTTTTCTCTGAATTCTAAATGTTGAGTAATACTTTGCGTAGTTGGTGATGGTTTAGTCGGAGCCATTCTAAATTGTACTCATCACGTTTTTTTATCATATTAGTATTTTCAAAAGACCCTATCGATGAAAAAATAGGAAGCTAAATCAGCATTTGCAGTTACTATCGTGGGACGCACGGTGTGATTGTTGTTTATGAAGTGACAAGTGGTGATTCATTCAGTAACGTAAAAAGATGGCTGCACGAAATCGACACAAATTGTGAAAATGTTCAAAAAGTTCTGGGTAAAGCAAAAATTCTTATTTTCGAAATGAAGTTAGGAGATTTTAAGAATTTGAACCTGAACTTAGAAAATTTTTCAAACTTTCAGTCAGGATTTGTGATCTTTATTCTATTTTCTTACATATTTACAGTTGGTAACAAAGCCGATGATCCAGAACGGCGAGTAGTATTAGAAGTAGATGCTCGTCGTTTCGCAGAAACAATGAAAATCCCGTTTTTTGAAACTTCCGCAAAAGAAAATATCAATGTTGAAGAGGTGATATTTGCCTGATTTTCTGAGGTTAATCTCCATTAGAACTATCAGTGTAAGTTAAGTTATCCATAGAAGGCTTAAGCCAATTTGATCAGTCATTAAAATATTGAGATTAGTTCATAAAATAAAGCACTGAGAGCATTGCTCAACTCGAAAGCTAAGACCTAATTGGAGCGGCCATCCGGTAAGGTTATTTTCAGTTTGTCTTTTTTCTAACAATGGTGATTTAATTTCCTTATTGATTGTATTAGCTTCATTTCTTATGAAAAAAGTAGAGATCAAGATTTTTCATTAGTTTGATGTAATCTTACAGATGTTCAACTGCATAACACGTTTAGTACTAGAAGCAAAGCTTCGAGCTCCTCAAACAAACATTGCTGATAGTGGAAGTGGTGTACGATTGGGTGGCTCTATTCTGAGACGACATGAAAAGAGGAAATGTTGTAGCTGAATGGAAAACAATTATTGTGAACAGTACATTTTCTTTTCTTTCCCAAAATTTCTTCAAATCTAAAAGATGTGGCTCTTGCTTTGCGTCTCTATTGCTATTATTTACTGGTTAACATTTTTCTCAAATTTTCATTTTCTCTTATGAGATTGGAAATTTTTCTAATCAGTTTAAACCTGGTCTTTGGACTTTTTTTTTCAAAATTTATATTTAATATTGTGAAAACTAAATTGTGTTTTTTTCTGAGGCAAGTTATTTTAAGTTAATTAACTACGTTTTTCTTAATTGTTGGCCGAAAAAAAATTCCCAAATTTTGGTTATTTTGTCCAGGTCTCAGGTTTTTCTTGAATGTGGAGTAGCATTGGAAAATAATTCATAGGCTGGATTTTTATTCCTACATGTCGTTACTTCTTAATCATTAGCTTATTAGGGCTAGTGAGTCACTGACTTAGTTTTCCCCGTGTCATACGTTTTCCCGTTCGATCTATCATACATTCTGAAAACTCATAATGCCAATCTGTTTACTTAATGATTGAAATTAGTAAACTATGCATGTGAATGACAAACAGCAAGCATGATAATAAGAGAATAATTTTTTTTTTTGTACAACTTTTTTCGGCTTTCTATGAATTTAAATTATTATGCTTTATTCAATATAAAGCGTGTAAATGTAAGCTTTCGCGACTTCAGTACTCCTGACTTTTCATTCCTTAGTTTCACAATTATCCATTGGATTATAAAAATAGTCTTCCTCCTAATATTGGATTTCATTACTTCTTGGCTGTAGCTAGTTTCTATTTATTGTTAATAAGAATTCGGGAGGTGTGAGCGCAGGATTAAACTCTCAATGGGTTTTAAAGATCTCGACGCGTGGAAAAAACAGGAATCAAAATGTGGCTTTTATAGAGGCTTTGATATGTTGGGAACTTAACAGTGAATATTCTGATTTATGAGTTTTTTGAAGGAAACCTGTGGATAGAGCTTACCGTTAAAGAAGGTAAGTATGTAGTAGCCATTTATATCCCAAATTACTCAAAAATTTTAACAAATACGTGCAGAGGTCATTACTATTTGAATAATATACTTTACTGGAATTCTTTGGTTGACTTTTTATTCTGCAAATTCTCGCTTTTATGTAACATGTTATATATAGTGCTTTCAAATGCTCGCTTGTCTCGTTGTGGTACGATGTCTATTGCAAGCGGAATTTGTGTTATGTGCATATTCTACGCACCTGCATAATTTAAAGCCTTAAAGACATAAATTGCGCAAAAAAAAAAATCATTATTTGTACAATAGGTATTGGTTTTTGTTGGCAGTGCTTTATTAATTGGAAATTTTCGGATCATTAGGAAAATTTTACTTCCTTTGTTGAATGCTGTTTTATTGAAACGTTGTGACATCATCGCAGTTCACATGAAATTTTATAAATTTCAGGTTTTTCTATTTATTCATGTATAATTGCTTTGTGTAATTGCATACTGTCTATCTGCAATTATACATGCTTCCTTTGTTCCTGACATATTTTTGTAATCTTTTTCAAATTAAATTTTGTGCCATCTATTCGGCGATACTATGCAATGTATTTCTCTACTTATTTTTACTTTAGCTTTA